ATCTTACCACTAAAGATAAATTAAATATGAAGATTGGCTCTAATAAGAAGAAAAACTGAGCTTAGGCCACATTTTGTACACGGAATCACACGCTTAATCAATGGTGATAGGAACAAATAAATTAATAACATCGTTTGATCAACGCCGCCGCAAAAGTAAAGGTTTACCATCAGATCGATAAAAAATTAAATCTAAGTACTCGTATGTGCTGTCACAGAGAAATATCCATGAAAGACTAAAGATGGACGGTCTATTATTTGCAATGTAGGCCCATAACACGATGATTGGACATAGAATTACTATCCGATATCTAAATTCTTATTGATTTTAATTCGATTTATTGCATCAACGTGCTGTAGATACATCTAACCTTGTTTGTGAGAGTCAAATCAATAATATTAGCGTGCATAACAGTGAGCAAATAACATCTTCAATTATTTCCATGGTAACGTCTTGTCCACTCCTTCATCATAATGCCTCTTTATAGTCTCATTCCAACTTGATTATCTTATTAGTAAATCTACTTCTGCAACTGGCCGTCCAACCACACTGTTTAACTTTGAGGTTAGTCCAATATACTTACGTGATGAACTTTTTTTGTTCCGGTCCATGCAATCAAAGTTCTATCATGATAGGATTTTGATAAATGGATTGTCTTTTGAATTTAATTTAGCTAACTAAAGCAACCTGCGCATCATATCGATAACGCGACAGATTACTTTTTACAAGTTCAAATTGATCAATTTAAGAATAGAAATTTCTTATTCATCATGACTTTGATTAAAATGTTTACTTAGCTCATCTGTCAGTTATTTTTCAGGTCCTATGAGGCCTAACTTTTATTGAAAGAGTCGTGCATTAAACTCCCTCCAATTCCTATCTACTTGAAAGCACGTTACAGAGTAACATTAAAATGTAGAGTTCCATCTACTTTACTAACCATGTTATCCTACTATTCCTTGAATCGAGATTATAAAACTCTATAAAATAGATTGATTTTTTAAATCAAAATTAGCTTGCGAAACTGACCTATTTGAAAAACTGATTCAGTCTATATACACTTTTAATACATTACTAGTTGAAAGAATATCATTAATCTAAAGTGGATGTTCCTAGTTTGATGAAGTCAGATTTATCCTGAACTGAATAAAATGAAAATCACCCAAATTCGATATCATGTTCGTATAGAATTATCAAAACAATTTATGGCTATAACATTTTAAGGTTGAAGATACGAGCCATTCATAATTGCTTATTTTAGACATGAATAACCATCCTTTTCGGAGTATGATTACATAAAGGATTTTTGAAAGAAGCAATTTTCCTATATTATATCATCACCGTGCATGATGATCAAACTTTTGTAGATCATGTCCTTGATCATAGACCTTTTTTTACAAAAGAAATCCGTATTATTACGTGATGATCTGTGCTGGCGAGCAAAGTTAAGATAGCAGTGAAGATCTATTTTAGAGCGAATAGTCAAACGAGCCAAATTCTCTTTACATATACCTTGCTATGTTGAGGCAATACTATTTTACCTATAAGATATCATAAAGATAGTTTCCTCGAAATAATTCATTTTAAAATAGGAAAAATACATGAATCAATAGATCATGTTATCATAGCCTAGTTTTGAAGCAATGTTTTAAAAATAATCACTTTCCCTGATGACAGTTTCTGCCATTTAAAATGATATCAAGCTTATAGAAAGCTATAATGGCTTTCAATTAAAGTGTCAAAAATTTATCGTTGGCGTAAAATTTCAAGATAACATGTCTTTCTTAAAATTAGTTCCCAAATGTAAGATTACGGCGAATCTTTATTGATAGTAACATCGTTAATAATGAGGGAAACTAACCAGGAATACAATATTTTCGTATATTGATACTGCTAGAAATTTTTTATCAATTCTCATTACTTGGACTACAAAACATCGATAAAATCTTAGGGCAATAAGAAGTTAAAGTATTTCGATTATTTAGCGCTGCTTTTAATCCTATAAGTCGGATAATGTCTCTAACGCCTAGCTAACTTTAGAATACTTTTATCTTTCATTTCAATTTCATAGTCTTATTTCTAAGAAAGGTTTCCTATTCTGCTGGGAAATTGTTGCAACCAATCATGTATTTAATGTACTCGTGTATCACAAATTCGATACATCTGCAAATCTTTTTCCTATTTATTGATGATTAATAGATGTTAGTATTTGAGATAGTTTTCATTTTAAAATTAATAAAAAATCTTAGTCATTAATAATTAATTTAGGGTGATTCCTTCAGTCTTTACTAGCTTGTAGCCTATGCAATGAGAGCTTGATATAGATAACAGAATGATTAAAAATGTTGTTAGATACCAGCATAGTGCAAAATTAAATTGTGAAAGAGACTATACTAGTGGAATGGCCATTCTACTAGCTACAGTAAATTTTGGAAAATTAACGTGAAATCGATCGCGAATATTAGTAGTTGAAAATCTAGTAATGGCTATTTGGGCCGTCTAGAAAACGATTGCAAATTATTTTCATAATTACTATGGATGATTATCACAAATTTAATGACAGTTTCACGCCGCATTAGGCCAACATGATTTTTCTCAGCACTATTTTGAATCATAACAGTAAATCTATTCCGGCAATTCCGTTAGCAATCTTCAATTGTTGTTACTTAGTACTGATTTACTCTGGTAACACAATCTAAAAAGACCGCATGCAACAAAAGTAAAAGACATCGTTTCATCATTTTAAAGAGCAACTTCTATAACTGACAATCTCTAATTATACATATTTCTCTAATACTGTTTTTCTCAGGCACAACAATCTAAAAAACTAACAATCTAGAGACCCTATCCAATAAAAGAAAGGGCATTCTTCGTTATTTTAAAAATAATTTCTATTGCTGATGATGTAAACCCTAAATAAGGCCAAGGTATCCTATACCGGTGTCACAAAACAGCTTTGCAACAAGATAACGCAATATACGATCAATAAGTCAATTCCTTGAACCACGTATCAAGGAACGATATCTGCACTATCACGAACACTTTTGCTCTACTAGCAGATTACACAAAGACTTGAACGCCTCGTATTTTACGTTAAACACTAAGTTGGAGAAATTCTCTTTATTTCACGATATACTGTATTTATATACTACTCCTCAATAGTTCATGAGTCATAGTTAATACAATTAACATTGGAATCATTTACTGAATTAGATATTAATTTTAGCTACTGCTCCCTTAATGCAGACAACAGTATTTACGAATATAGACATGTAATGACTAATACAGAATAGTCAGATTACGATATGTCCTATCACGGAACATTTCCATGATAATTTACAGTCTACCATAAGTAAATTACAATCACAATGATTCGAATTGTAAGTAGATGATTTGCATTCCCTATTATAACTATTAATTTCAGTATGTGTATAAGTGTCACTGTCATAAAAAGTCAGTGCTATATTAAAACACAGTATACCCAAATTAGAAGTTAACTAAATAAGGATAGTCTAACAGAATTATCCTAACATAGATATTTCTACTGTAATACAGTATTTAACACTGTAACAACCGGCAATGGAAGAAAGTTTACTAAAGTAACGATATGAAGTATGTAGCTCGGTTTCAGTTATTTAAATCAAATAATTTGCCCTATGATTATGAATGCAATCAACTTTACTCATGCATAATCATCAAATTTGCTATTGAATCAATTCTATAATGAATTAGAGCTACAGTTTGATTATCCAGAGCAACCAATCCTTTCTGATTTCATTCTGACGCCCATCAATATCAAAATTTATTCTTTTTTACACAATGATTACATGGATTCTGTATCGTAACTCCGGCATTATTAAAATAGTCCACATTAAAACAAATGTATATTAAAAAAGTCCATAGCCAAGCATCTTTTCATGCATTGCCTGCAATGTACATTATTACCTCGTTCTAGATTTCCGTCTAAATCAAATTCCTTGCTATAAGATGATTATAAGAGCTGGAAGATGTCTTTGTAATTATTGCAATTGCTTCCTAACGGCAGTTTCACAATATGATGAAACAGTAGTTCTATATATATATATATGACATATATATAAAAATCATGCGTAGCTTTTGATTCTCCTATCTCGACCGACATGGGCTAGTGCCTGTAAGATGATCATTTTCAAATTTTTAGACGATTTGAATTTCAGTATTCCACAGTGATACTATTTATTAGTTAATACAACTATTTAATTAATTATTTCACCATCTACGTGATTCATTATAGATAGGCTTAAAATTATATATGCTTTAAGATTAATTTTTACATTTCTTACCTTTCAAATCCAGTATATACCTGTAGTGCGTGGATTTTGCAGCCCTTTAAGTTTGCAATTATCTAATCTAAACTGAATTGTTAAAATTGAGCTAATCTATACCGTGATACAAGATCAGGCAAACACCGTGTTTAATTTTAAAAGTATTGCTTATTAATAGAAGGCTTGACAAAAAAAGAATCCACGTTTCTTCCCTCGAAGTAACAGTCGTAAGCGGCTAAGATAAACCGCATAAACGACTTCATCTCCACGATAACAATTCCATTTTATCTAACAGTTATATCAAGACATTACATAAAAACATAATTTTATAAGTCGACTAGAGCGGCCTTACATACACATAGTACGATTGGTATAGGTGCACCGCTTCGTCATCAACAATCATAAAATTGCATTATAAGTATAGTATACACTATTCTACTTCTTAATGCTACCGTACTTCAATTACTGCTGTAATTAGCTGAAACTACTACAATACGTTAATTGAACATTGTCCTATCAAGTAGATAGAGTAAAAAGCGATCTGTAGTTGATATGCCATAGAAAATAAGCTGGAATCTCTATCATATGTTTGCTTCTAGAATAAGAGTTGCAACTTCGGTATGTTTGACTTGATATGCATTAACTAAATTTCTCTTTTAATTTTGGTAATACTCTAGCATAGACTAATTAGCAAGTATGACTGAAGAAAGTCCGAAGCCGTTCTTTTCTGATAGCAGCAATTTATTCAAAGCTGTTCTCTTACTGGTTCCTGTTATTCTTTTGGCTTTCTTTATTTCAGTATTCAATTCTTCTGCAGCGAAGGTTAGATAACACTCGAAATTTAAATTTTGTCTATTTTAATCTTGTATAAAATGTCATGATGCATCCTCCAGCTTCTAAAGTTGCTAATTTGTACTATATTTTTAAAGAAATAGCCATTTAGTCCTAAAATTTAAGATTAAATAAGCTCCAGATAAGCTAATTTTAATTGATTATTTTCACGAATAGCTGCCATCATGGTCTGTCTTCGAGGATGTTGCGTAATTCAGGATTAGATAGAAAATAGTCTCATTTACTTGACGAAAACCATCTTATAACATTACTAAAACTAGTTTATGATCAGACATAAGCTAGTATAATAAACAGAGCTATTCAATAGGAAAATAGATAAAATTTTGCAATTTGTGCATCATTATTTAAAATTATGGTGATGACTTACAGTATATGAGAAAAATTTACGGTGTCAATCAATAATAGCTCATCTTGATCAGTTTAAGTCATTCAATAAGACTAACCACTAAAACTTGAACATTTTCATTTCATAATCTTGTAGGATCGGCTACCCTTACCACCTTATTCTACATCTCCCTATCTACAATGCGTTGAACAGCAATTGCATTTGGCACTGTCAGAACAATTTCAAGAAGAATACAAGGGAGATTTTTATACCTTGGCTGAAAATTATCCACAGAAACTAAATGAAATAGTCAATGCAACCTTTATCAAGTGCAGTCCTTCCCTTGATGAATCGAATCAGCAAGCTAATAGCGATAACCAACCACCCGTATCAACAGAATTAAAAATATTGCTACGTCGTATGCAAACTATACGCCGTGAAATCAGTATAAAAAAAGCTAAAAGTTCTGGAAAGCGAAAAGCTGCAAAACGTGAAAATGAGGCTTTGAGAAAATTAAAAATGTATAACTTCCTCCTGTGGGCTAATGAAGACATTTTTGCTGGTAGTGACAATCAATTGAAAGAGCTTATTGAACTGATCAAAAAACAACAAACTTACTACCAGAAACAAAATCAGTTGGATCCTGAATTAACACTAGCTGTAGATAAATCATTTCAATCACTAGGCGTTCAATTAAGATCATGCTTATCGCCTCGATCGCGATATTCTAAGATTACCCATAGCTCTAATCCAATTATCAATTTTTTTATTTCAATCATTGATAGAATATTTAGAATGATATAATGATGATTCTATCAGGTTCCAAAGTAATTTCTGCTCTTTAATTTTATATAATGGTTTCCTTTTCCTTAAAATTCAGCGTAACATCTTTTCCGTTTTCAATATCAGCAAATTCTTTACCAAGTATCTCAATTTTTTCTTCAAATTTGTACTCATAGGCTAATGAATTATTATAAGATTATTGCATACTAACGCATCCAAAGTGCAAATTCTGTCCTCACGATCTTTTTGACAAGCAATTGCAATTAATCAACTTTCAAAATTTATTTCAGAATTTAAATTTCTTTCGATATTCATTGACGCAATGCAAGAATTCTACGAGTTTTATCGATATTAAACAGGCGTAAAACGGGAATGCTCTAATCAGCATTAAATAACTACTGCTATTCTACAAATACTCAATGGAAAAAAATTTTCCTTGCAAGTAATTCTTTAAACTATCGCTAGAGTTTTGCTAAGATTACGGAAATAAAGAGCCGTGATAACTGTTAAAAAATCATTCTCCCGCTGGCTTATTTATAAGTACTGTCTTGATTGCAGTCGAAAATTTTGATCATTAATTTCGAATTCGAGCTTAAGCATGCCACATTTAGAAATGGAAAAGTGACTCGAGCTTTTACCCAAGCATAGATAGAATTCGATTTATGCAATCTTAATGTCTTATGCTTGACAGTATTCTGTAGTAATAAGTACTAATTTCAGCCCTACAGTTTTCCAGTCACATAATGAAGTAAGCCCTCAAAGTAGCGGTTAAAAATAGTTTATTACCTCAAATGTAATTGCTGAATATTACAGTAGTAGAACTTAAGATAACACAACTACATACACAGCTAGCTCAAGGCTACTAACCTATCTTCCCTTCAAAGGAGTTGGCCTTTTATACATTCATAGAAAGGATTATTAACAAACATGTTGATTAAATTCCCGTTTCAGTCAATTTAAGTAAAATCCTACTTAATCTTCCCTGTACTATTCCTTACTCTACTTAGCGTTCAATATGGCTCCTGCAAGTGCAGGGCTCCTAGTTAGGGATGATTGTCATCCCTCACTTTTGTTTGTGATACCCATAACACAAAATAGGGTGTATCTAACACCGCTAATCTACTATATTATTAACCCGAGGTCTCAACATAATCTAGTTTTCCTACATTTGTATAAATAAGCCAAGAGGGTAACTATGTTCACCAATTCTCCTAGCCAAGATTTTTAAATGCTGAATAGCTTGCAACAAAAGTGGCTAATATGCAGGACAGCTAAATTTATATAGATAATTATATATTAATTATTAATGATGAAGTAAGATAGACCTATACTAGCCTACCGTTCTAGCCAATATTGTAATTTCCGAATAGCATGCAATAATAAAAGTTAATATGCACTACGGCTCAATTTGGGTAGTTAATTAATTATTACTGTTGAAGTAAATTAAATTTTGAACAGAGACAGCAGTTTACAAATATAGCTAGCATATCAATTTGGATTATCCCCATTTAAATGAATTTTATTACGTTTTTAAGTAAGCTACAGGCTTTACATAAATAGTCATTGTCATTTAATTATCACATGCTACGTTTTTAACATATCATAAAACTTGCTTTAGTCGACAAGACTAATCTAAATGAGAGCAATATGTTCTTTAACTGCAATAAGCACCATAAGTATTATCTGTTAACTTAGTCATTCGTACAGAAGATCGCATCGTTGAGATACTGCAAACCCGGGGTAAACTAGACCACTATCAAAATAAAGAAATGCGAATAGCTAAAGCAGATTAAAAATAGATAAATCTTAGCTCATATATTATTGAATTCAGATAGAATTATCTTAATCTGTTCTCTACAGATGCTTACTGTAAAGTAACCGTAGTTACAGTAAATTAAACAAAAATTTTTGTCTTACATATGGAGGCCGTAAAGCGAACGATAACAGTGTATAGAACTTAAATACCCAATTTAATGACTCCAAAATTTATTGCGCTAAGGCTTAAGCACTTATAATAATTTCTTCAGAAATGAAACGGCCATCGAAAAATTTAATATTAATCATTACATTTATTAAGCAAGAATATGACAACTATGAATCAAAAGACATCTGCGAAAAATTTAGAAGCTTCTTTTGTGAATTAGAGTAAATTTGACTCTTGAAATTCATTTATTAATCAAAACGTGCGATATCTGCTAGCATTACTCTATCATTATATAGTTCTAAGTGGTTCGAAAGCCCCTTTTATCTTAAATCTCATCTAAAATTTTCTCAAATTCTCTAGCAGATGAGGTAATTACATCTACTACATTGGAACTATACGGTTATAGAATACTTATTAGCAATATTTAATTTCCGGCGAATAAATCAAACTACAAATGCGTGGATCATAATATCTAGTACATCTATTTCTTAATATTTTCGATAGGATTACTCACTAGATGCTAAAATTATTGACCTGTAGGGTAAACTTGACGAGAGAGAGTAAAATTAACTTGCTTGGTAGCTCCGGAGGTAACTGTCACCGTTTTAGTGACACTAATATAACCAGGATAGGATACTGTAGCCTTATATGTTCCTGGAAGCAATAGTCTCCAATAGTCACCATACTCTGTAGCATAAATGATTTTATTTCTACCCTATTAGACACAAGAAATAGAAAAATGAGCCTAAGATGACTCCGAATTAAATTTTCCTAATTCTATAAAGCATCTTATACAGGCATGAAATATTTGAAATTTTATTCTTATTTCTTGGTATAATTTATAAATTAAAGCTAATGCATAGGATTTTTATGTAAGACAAGAAAAGTGCACGACATTTTTCAATATTTAAATAATTTATCAGTTTAACAATTTTAAGGAGTTAGGAGGATTACTGTACCACTTTATGCGCAATATTTGGAAATTAAAGTTATGCGCTATCGAATTTCTCTCTAGTTCAAACTTGGATACAGATTATCTTAACTAACCTGGATTACGAGAGAAGCTCCATAAATTCCTTGATTACTTGAATTAAGTATAAAACCTTTGATGCCACGATGTATTTGCTCGATATACTTTAATAAGGCATTTTTATGATTCAACCATTCTTTTTGTAGACTTGTTCCATAAGGATACTTTTGACAACCCGTTTCGATGGTAATTTCAAAGCAATTGGTAGTTAAATAATTTACATCTTGCATACCACCTAGACAGATGATAGTAAGTAAGAAAGTAATATTTTAAGCATTAATTAATACATGATATTAAAATTGATTATGCGATGCAGATCCATTTTATGAATTCTGTTGAAGCAATCTATCTTACCGGATATGGCATACCATGCAGCTCCATTGGTAATTCCGTTAGAGAAACTTTTATTCTGGTGACTACGAGAATTACGAGAACAACTTTGCCCTTTCCACATAGTAGGATGAGCATAGGAGTAAGTTTTAGCTAATGATCGAAAAACATCATCATCAGGGGTTGTACTATAGACACTTTGGCCAGACAACGTGTCATCTAAGGGATAGCTAGCTACCAATGCACCACCATGGAAATTTGCTGATAGAACAAATGGATAAGCATTCATCCAATTCATAACTAAGGTTGTTTCCTGCTGTCTTGCTTTATAATCAAAATAGTAGCGGCCTTGACGAATAACTATATCATGTAGTGTAGGAAAATCACGATTTAAATCTACCCCACGTGAATTATAACGGCCTGTAGTACCAGACCAATCGCCTTCTACTGCTTTTTCCCATCCATCAGGATTCATGGTCGGCATTATATGCATTCGAACCGAATTGATTAGCCGTGTAACACGAGAATCGATGTTATAATTGCTACAAAAGTATTCTATCAATAGTAATAGAATTTCGCGACCGGTGACTTCGTTGCCATGCATATTACCGACATACTTCATTTCTGGTTCTCCAGCTTCATGATTGCCCGGATGATCGGAAATTTCCATAACCCACAGTGTTCTACCTTGAAGAGACTTACCGATATCATATAAACGCATAATGGAAGGGCAGCGTGCTGCTTGCTGTTTCATAAATGATGTAAGCTGATTATAATTATGATGCTGGAAATGTGTCGGCTGTATAGCTCCATCACTAGCGGAAAGGATGGCAACTAGGAATAGAACGATCCAGTTCATTTTCTGCTTCAGTCAGTGTATATCAATAAAAATCAGAATCTCAACAATTATATAAACACTTCGTTCTTATTCTAAATCATCGATGTATTACTGCCTTTATATAATATTTTACGGACTAAATTTGTTGTCGTGAACTTATTTGTCAACATTCAATTTCATGAATGGATGCTCTTATATATACATACTCATGTAACCACTGTAAATTGATTACTTCATCATTTGAATAATACTCGTTATCAACAACGCATGATTTAGAATTCTGTAAACACTTTGAAACAAATTCATGTCAATATGATCACAACATCATAACCACACTGAATAGGATGATTTTTTAAATTTTCCCATGCAGCAAACATGCTAAACTTGAACTGACCTTGCAAATCTTGATTATTTACAAAATTGACAAAGTTTTCTAAATACCACAGGATTTTATGTCAACATCACGTCATTTTCACACCTTTCTCTTGAAATTCACTTGAATAGAGATGCTGCGTAAGTATGCATATCTGAATGGTTTTCTGATCCAATCAACGGTAGTAATAATGCTGTAAAGATGTTATAGGCTGAAGGCTAAATCGAGTTCTAAATTATAGCAGTAGAGTCACCGAATGAAAGCCTGTTTACCAATAAATGATGAAAACATTCCTTTTTATTATTTTTCCTAGAAAATTCATATCTTGAATGCAATTTGTTATATTGCTAAACAAAGTCTAATGATTAATACTATTTAAGAGTTTTGCTTTCTTTAAATTTAGGCATCAAAACTTATCAGTAGTAGATCCACTAATTTTTAATGTACACAACGTATGTATAGTCAGCACTAGGAAAGATTCATTTTAATCTACGCATTACTATAGAATTAAAATTCTCAGTGATCAAATTTCTTGAAAAATTATGTAGAAACTTGAATTAGAGAAGTAATTAATATATTTTTCAATACCTAGAATGGTGTTTTGAACGAGAGTTATATTGCGGTAACTGACCAACTAAGTAGAAAATCAAAGTACCATGCATGCTCCAAAAATAAAAATCTTTTGAAAACTAAAATGGATGCTTGTGCATAATAATTGAATGTTATTAAACTAAAGGATAATAATTAGAAAACATTAAAAATTCCACCACAACTCCTCAGAATTGAAACTTTAGGCTTAGACGCCTATTTAAGAGTTACTTTCTTTACAGAATATTACATCACTGATAAAAGGTTTTATAAATCCTCCATAGAAACTTAAAAAACAATTGTAAAGCAATGTGAAATTTTATGTGCTTGAGGATCAAACAGAAAAATAGATACTGTAAGTAAGAAAATTCAATTAATATTAATCTATGGTCAAAAATAGATCTAAATTCATAGCATTTAAACTAATACGGTTCTAGACTTATGAGTATCATTCCATATAATCGTCGAAAAGCATCTTGCTGTTTGAGGTGAGAAAGACTTAATTGTCACAAAATAGATGAGAGTAATAAATATGCAAATTCTGTTATATTCAATCTAATATAACACAATTTTCATCAAAGTTTTTAATATGAATTCTGATTTATAAATATCTCCGAAATTGAAAACAGAACAAAAAGCACTATTCCAATTAAAATTTAAGACTCATTATTATAAAACTCAAGTACATATATATCATTCTTAAATTAAATGAAATCTAATTTGAAAAATCACATTGGATAATTTACTGCAATTTCACTATATACCTTCGTAAGTATAACTCCAGCCTAACATAGTTTAATAACCAACGAAGTAAGATATACATGCACCTGCTATTTTATGTAAAACCGCTTCTAAATAAATAATTTGAATGACAAGCTGTTCATTACGACCATAATTTCCTGGGAAAGCAAATACCACCAACAACTTTATAGTTTAGTTTAAGCATGCATATGCTGACATGAATACATTATATAGCGTAGGGAATGATTAATATTTAATCTAGAATTTAAGTTATTCTATTATACGTTAGTTCCTTAAAGGTCTCAAATTTACTCTATTGTCGCTAATTCATATTGGTTAATGTACTACTTTCAGTATATAGCGCCTTAAACGAAAATAAACAATAATATTATGAAGCTGGAAAGGATTAATAGGTAAATAAAATAGTCATAAATTACTTACGAGGTAAATAATTTAATTACATTGGCAAGAATATCACAAAAAAGAAAATATTTCAACAATTTGAAGTATAAATCTTCCACGGTCGTGCTAGTTAATGACTTAAAATAACGGCAGAAAGCAATTATAATAGTTTCAATATTTACTACTATCTGGTTTCTGTACGGATATTCCGCTTTACTTTATCAGTGCTCCTCCTTTTTATATACGACATTATTGAATCTAATAAATATATTTTGGAAAGAAATATTATTTAATTTATGACGTTTCAAAAATTCGCACTATTAAATAATACCTCTACGAGCTACCGAATTCATAAACTCATGAATAATATCTATCAATTTTTAGAGAAGCTTTGTATCTTTTGCAGCAATCAGCAACTTTTACACATATTAAGTTATTGTCGAACCGACTCTTACTCTTGAATGCTGCGATTGAATATTTTCATAAATAATTCTAACTTGGAAAATTACCAGCGCAATACAATAGCCGATTTTGAAACAGATTATAATTGCATTAAAAATATCAGAAATTTGTTGGAATAATGGCTTAAGAAGAGACTTTCAGGGGGATGGATTTGACTCTCCAGTAAAAATTAACCTTTATTTTGTAATGACTTAAAATAGAAGACTGCTCAGGAAGCTCTTAAATTTTGATATTGACTAATTTTACTACGTAATTTCATCATAAATTATCTATCGTAAATTTTGCATTAATTATTGGCAAAATATTAATTTTTAATATTAATTTTAATATTATTGCCCAACCAAGTTAGTCGTCATGCAGTGGTAAATATAATCAGGAATTGTAGGCCATACAATGACGTATCCATGGCATACATTCTGATGTTTGTTTAAAATGTACTAAATCATCATTTAATTAGACTGCAATCTTATCGAAGTTGTCAGTATAACCCAAACCCTAACCCTAACCCATTAATCATTTAAGGAATATCTATGCTCTTATAAATTTGTCAGAAATACCTCTAAATCTATCCTAAAGTTTTGAATCCTCACAATCTCCATCAATTAAAGTTAAATAATTTGTAGTTTATTTGATCCATTTCTTTACTAACTTTATCAAATTATCAGCCAATTAGAATGTAATCTGTTAATGTAAATCAACGAGTAGATTGATTAATTTTACTGTCATCGGAATGAAAGCTACTATACAATTAAATAATATTACTAATGCGAATCTTATCCATCCATAAGTTAATAAAGCCTACTATATTTATTTATAAGGAAAAATGTAATTTTGAATTATTCGTTTGATATTTCAGGACTTCATTGTTACAGAATCAATACTCTAGAACATATAATAAGGCTAAGGTCACTTCAATTTAGCAGTAGAGTTAATACATACTATTATGGTAACCAATTTTGTTTATTCTTGGAACCTTCAGGATAGAAATACTAGCAACGATAATTTATGGCTGAATGTATAATATTGGTGAAATCATGTCAATCTAGCGGAGAAGCTAGAAGATTCCATAGCGATAGCAATTTTTACATTAGTTTATTTAACTCTGATAGCAGCCCCAGTATTTCTAATAAGACTGATATTAGTAATTCAATCTTGCTTCGGTGTTAAAGAATTGTTTGCTTTAATAATTTCTATATCATTTCTCTCAGCTGTAAAACCAAAATTGGACTACCAATATAACACGGTACCAGTATACCACAAGGCATTACTGGAGAACCGTTTTATAACTTTAGTATATCAGCCACTACTACGCCAAAGCCTTCCCCTTAAGGCTAACATTAATACAATACATGAGTATGAGTATCGTAGAAAATTCTATTGCAATCATAATTTTATATTATTCTCTTGATTTAAATAGAGCACTATTCTAAAAATTGATCAATTACTCTATAATATTTTACGATAACCCATTTTAAAATTTTGTTATAAATGCTATACCGTCATAATATAGCCCAAACCAAATTTCACAGGCAAAAGATTGGGACAGACTTATGATTTTGATGATGTGGAACATAAATTAGTGTTGGATTTTAGATTATTAGCCTTGTTTGGTACGATGCATGATAATGAAATTTTTCATACTTATGATAAGGCGTAATTAGCAGCTCATAATCATTCATATACTGCTATTGAAGATTCTATGTTAGAATATAAATGTACATTTGCAGTACGGTGTAGGGTCACTATTGATGCTAGAAGTAAAAATAAATATTCTATTCATATATAACGATATGCTTAGCTCATCGCACTTTATTCGGTATTCGTGTCTAATTCAATGCCGTAATTTTTACCATCTAGGACTATAGATGATCGTTATAAAATGTTATTACTAATAATAATCAGAATAATTGTAAAATAAGGTAAAATACTGATAAAGAATTGTAGCTACAAACGCTACGAAAAGTATTTAAGACGAAGTGAGCTTTAGACTATTTATCAGTTATGCCTACAAGTCTTCCCAATAGTTCTGCTGGGCTACAGTAGAGCTGTGTGTACAATATTTTGTAAGAAGATCGAATAAGGTTTTAATTTGCTTCAAATTTTGAGAATTTCACAATTAATAAATATTATACGATGATCCAAACTTTAATCTTCTGAATTCGATTAATTATTCAATTAAGAGTTCAAGTAAAATATTAGCTCATTGGTTCAATCGAACCAATTAAGCCTATCAAACAAAAATAGTTATTCTTCTATTCTATTATTATGAACATTTAGATAAATACAATTAAATCAGATTAGATGAATAGATGACGTCATAATAACAGTATTGATGAATAGATAATATGTTTTGGATAACTTCATTACGCCGCTGCATTGCCCTATAATGATTTGATCGTTATCTAAAATTATTAATAATAGGATTGATTATCTTGTTGCCATGGTTAACACTGACTCATGTCGTCCAGTGGAGTTTGATGACACTTCTAAGCAAGAGCAAATTAATTTACGATAAACAGTCTTCATATGAATATTGCTACCGATTAGAAATAATTTCAACTGGCATTACTTTAGACGGCTTTCAACTCCACAACTATCAAAATTATTATAATATATATGAAATCTTATTACTAACGGATCGAAATTGTGGCCACTACCATGGCTAAGGTTACCGAAGCTATTGCTGTTACTCAACAAAATAAACAAGGCGAAAGTATCAGGAGTAAATCTTATAAAAGAGAAGTCATAATGAAGAATGGAAATGATTCAAAGTAAGATTGATCATAAATAATATCATGCATCACCTTTCAAGGCTGGTATGCTATTCATCAATAACGTGTTAGAGTAATAGTTTACAGCTATTATTACTGATATAAGATCTGCTTTACCATTCCTTAATCCGTTATGAATACTTCCCTATCCTATTTAGCGATAGGCAAGACTTAACATAATCTAAAAAGGCGTATTAATCGTGCACTGATGATCAGTCTATCTAAATCTTATAATCAATATTCCGGTAGTAAGAGCAAAGAATTTAACGTTTTTGCTGTAGCTACCTAGATCTTTTTGATGATGCAATTGATCACAAGACTTGGAGTTGATAAATGGGTATCGATATCGTTAAATTATTGGCACTAAGATCCGAGTTTATCTATACCAACACGATAAAAATGACTCTCTGTGTGGAGTCAAGATAACTATCCACTCTGTCCTATTTCTTATAAGATATCTATGACAAATATTTATGGTTTAACTTTAGTTTTAGAGGTTAGAAAATGGACGATAACAGATTTTAAAATTTGAAATTTAATACTCTAAATCCTACAGCTAAATTTTACTGTAATAGTCGCAGCGATAACGAAAACGTTTAATCACATATAGATAAATTTGTCCAAGATCACCATTACGACGATATAAAGTGAATAAGAAAATTGCATTAGACAGCCCATTGCGCTAGCTTATGGGCATATCTATTTCAAAAGCAATTGCTTTTGAAGATCTTAATCCATAGATTCAGTATACTCTTAATGAATTACAAGTCGTGTGGGCGAGCTTTGGACAAATTTTTTATCAATTGAATTGATCGAAATGAGTTAATTGAATAGCATATCAAGTTCAGCATTAATCACATGTAGGTCATTCCAGAACAGAAAACGATGATGAAACGTGATTACGTAGGGAAGGCAAGCATAGAATAGAATGATTACGTAGTACACTTAACATCTAAATATTAGCCAATTGATATGTACACATATTAGTGTTGAACTCTATCAAACTTGTGCCATAAACTCTGTAATACCCAATAAGAATTAGAATTCATATTTTATTCTAACCATAAACTAAGTTATTACTATCTTTTCACCTCGTTTCTCCAATAAATTAGCAATAACAAAACTGACCTACTGCTAGTGTACTGTAGTTAGAAATGGAACTCATCCTTGATATAGATGATTTTTTGATGTCTCGAATTACTAGTGGTTAGCATACAAATTGGATACTGCAATAAATTAGAATCTCGTCACAAAGTATTTTCTTCTTATAATTCTTCTGCCCTTGAGTACAATTTAATTAATTTTGATCTAGAGATTAGCGATTTGCTCGTGCTAGTAATAATTCGACATCAGGCTTGGTTTGGAAGATCAGTTTCGAATAATTATCGTACCTCATAAAAATCACTCCTTAGCACTCGTACTTGTTCAAAATGATAAAAATTTAAACGCTCCGTTTATACTCTAATTTAATTTATAACTGGCAAGGTCTGAGTAATAAATTGACTCATCTAAGCATAGCGTTTTTGGCATAATTAATTAAAGACAGGTTCCAAAGAGATCATTTTAATACTCTAAAATTTAAAAAATGATCAGTTAATAACCAAAATCTTTCATGTGAGTATAGTCGTAGGAATCTATCCATAGTATAAATTACTGACTGACTTTGTCAAACCCTAGAAGTAAATTATGAAACCAACGGTAGCAATTTATTTCACCTTAAAACTGAAAGTTTACTACTTGCTACGACTTTCACATTAATCTAAAATAGATTTAGTAGTTGATACGACTCGAAGTAACATCTTATAGCTTAATGTTTATAGAAGAAATTAATAAAGATATACTTAGCTAATTTGGCCAGCCTAAGAGGCATTGACAAAATCTTAATTTCGACCATCATTTTACTTTATGGATGATAGTCGATCATAATTTTGATAAGGAGATTGATTTATTGTTGAAATTGGTAATATGGGAGAGCATTGATTATAAACAAGAGGTTTATAGCATGTCGAGTGATGGATTTAGATTTTGGCTATAGTTCCGGCGATATTTGGGCTATCATAACTGAAAGAGTATCCTTAATAGAAGAGTTTCACTGAATTGGTAGCAATTAAAAACTCTTGTTAATTACTAGAAGGAACTGTTAGCTTAAATGAAAAACAGCAGAATTTCTAGAAAATCTCATTTAGCATCTGTAATTATATACATTTGCATGAGACAATTTAAGCCTCATAAACAATTGATGGCTATCCTATTATAATTCGTTATTAAAAATAAAATAATTCCTTGATTCGGGGTATATCATCTATCCAAAACACTTTAATTGCATACGTTGTATTTCGATTCATGATCTGAAACTTTTATGGATTATGCCAATTTTAGATAGTTAGAAGAACAAATTTCGATTTCTAAAGAAATAAAACTATTTCAAGTCTTTAAATTTGTATTACGTTCTATCACTTAAATTTAAATCTTTAGATCGACTTGTCTGAATCATATACCCCAGACAAAGTGTAAACCATATAAATGCGAAATTGAACCAACTTTTCTACTTTAAGATCGTTCTCTTATTTATCCAATACTGGAACGTAAGACTAATGCCAAATTAATTTAACAGATGCTGCTTATATAATTTACTTTATAAAATTATTAATCAATTCATAATATTTATTGTTGCAAAAATTAATTAAATTAATCATCCAATCTACCTTTCGGAAGATCCAAAGTGATTTACAATTAGTTTATCGAAATTTCCTCTTCTTATATATATAAGAATTGAATTTAAAGTTAGTAATAGGCCATTTAAAACCATCATCGACGCTGTTTACGATCTTTTAGACATATTTTTGAGCGGACCATCTAACTATTTAAGGATTAGATCTATCATACTATCGTTGAAGATACAAAAGCTCATCAATTATCAATCTACAATTTTAAAACTGTACATTCATCTTTTATATAACATAATCAGACACTGGACTTGATGATTTAAGACAGTCTGCTAAAATTTCCAGACATAAAGAAATTATTGAAAAAATTTGAACCAATGTCTCATTTTCATATCACCTTCTGCCCTCCAATTAAATGGTTCAGATTCTAATCGGCTCAATGATACCTCTCCGATTAAAATAATCAACTACTTCAGAGTTTATTACAGCATGCTGCTCTACTGCAAATCTTCTCTCATTTACCCAAAATACGAACGCTAAAAATTGATTCTAATTTCATTCTTACGCTCTTGTATCCGTTGAAATGGCATTTAATCACTCTAGGTGAATTCATTAAATTCCTTGCCTTAAAGATAAATAAATTAAACAGTTATTATGCGATATCCGGCGAGATGAAATCAATGGATTGAATATTAATAGACGATCTTAGTTTCTGTTAATGATTCTTGGTGCTTAATTGACTATGCATGACTTTTATTATTTAATATTGACCTTATGTTAAGGACTGAATTTATTCGATCTTTATTCGTTATGAAAAAAATGATTCAAGAACAAGACTCATCTTTTATTTAAGGCAGGCTGGTTCAAAGCTATTGTTCATTAAAGTAAAGTCATGAATACTCAAGTAGCACCTTATCTTAATCTTGTTTATATACTTTGAGTTGCTCCAGACCCTATATAAACAGCCAAAATGAATCAAATGAAAACTTTACTGTTAATAATGAAAGCTAAATTGTTTATAAAGAAAAAATTGTCCTGATTTATCAGCCTTGATCTCATATAATAAATTCTGATGATTAATTTTATAAATTCATTTTGTCAGTATGAAGGACGCTGTCTTGTCATAGCGGGCCAAGCAAATTAACGTAGAGAGAATAAAATATTATTACTGATAAAAGTAATGATATATTGATATTGATAAATATTTAAAAAATGGAAATTTTCATCCATCATTAGCTTAAATTAAGAAATAGTCTTGAAATAGTAGGCTAGCTCGACTAAATAAATTGCGTTATCGATGAAGTTTTTGATGTCGATGTGATCTAATGTTTTAATTGACAAATTTGGAATTTATTACACATTTATGATAATTAATTTGAATTGTTCCTTCTATCTTATAGCCAACCTGACATGGCTGTTTATTCCGGAAGACTAGAAAAATTTTTCACTATCGAAGACTTACAAGCTATCGAAAAAGCTTTTAATGTATGTATTAATCAGTAAACTCCACAAATTCGTCTACTGCTGACTTTTACGGGAAAGGTTTATTAGCAGTTGCCATGGATCATACCTTTTCATTCTTGCATTCTAATAAATGTTAATAAGAAATTTTCAAGGATCGAAAAAGCTTTAATTAATGTTGTATCAACTATTAAATTCCATAAATTCGTCCATTGCAGATTTTTTGTGCGGTATATATTTTTTAACAGTGACGATAAGTTACAGCTTTTCATTTTTGCATTCTCGTAAATCTTGATATGAAACATTAAAAGCTATCGAAATAACTTTTAATGTTTGTATCAACTCGTAAAGTTTATGAATTCGTCTACTGTAGACTAATTCATGATAGTGTTATAAGCACGAAGATAGATTACAGCTTCCCATTCTTAGATTATCGTAATTCTTAAATTTGAAATTTTCATTAAAGTATTTTAGTCATGCTACTTGATCCTTTATATGGCAATTAGCACGCTTAGAGGTTTTACTCTTCTGTCAGTTTACTGATAGTAATATAAACAATATCTATTGACATTGAACTTTTAGGTAGACGGCTTAATGTGTACAGGCTTTAATAAACAAAACCTAAAGTTGATATGATTTGGGGATTTGCTTTAAAAATTAGTTTAGGTATATCTTATCCTGCAAGGGCTTGCTCATAACGCTGCAATTTGACCTATTTTTCATAAAACGATCATTTGCGATCAGTATTTATTAGCATATGCCATCCAATTATGTCTACTGTATAGAAGAGTAATACTGTATATAACATATATATAAATCTGCATAAGTCACAATAATTGTGTACTTCTGTAAGTAATCTTTTTATTTTTGTTCGCTTCCAATAATTAGCTGCTATAATTGCCGTGTAAAAACGTTTAGTAAAAAATAATGATTGTGTATATATATATATATATATTAGCAATTTTTCGTCAGTTCATTTACATTAGCAATAACTAGATCATTGCCAATACTGAAGACCAAAGCGATAGTATACTTTGATTCCGCTATCGTTGAAAGCCTTATTATCCGAATTTTTTTATCATAAAAAATATCGTAGTGAATTAGAAATTACGCAAATTCACAAATGTCAAATAGTTGTTGCGTAATTTCTTATGTTAAAGGCTTCTTTAATTGATCAGTAAGCTCATTTTAATATTCTCTCTTCGTAATAGGAGGATCAAACAGGAGGAAAGAGCTATCGTAAACTGCATCGAAATGAATTTTGTGAATTAATGAATAGAGTCTTTTCACATAAATGGTCTCGATCTGAGGTAATTTCTTTAATTCTTCAAGTATCTATTTTCAGCTGGTGATTAAGATGTTAACGCATCTGTAGTGAAATTCTAGCTGGTATTATTTTCATTAGGTCATCAAAAGCCCCCGATTTGGAATAATTTTATTTCATTTTGTGTAATAATATAGCTTTTGCGTTGCTGTTATCAATTTCGGAAATGCTAAGAAATTTTAATTTCTAGGCAGTTTTCTTACTAATTACCATACGAGCATTCATATTTCCGGAAGTAAACTCAGTTATTTTTCAAATCTATCTGAATGCTAGAATCGAAACTCATTAAAAAAATGATAGTCAATAATAACTTAGGAAGGCATGATTTTTAATATAGCTTTCATAAATTTAATTCGCTTCATAAATTAGCTAGATACGTAATTGAAATCTCTCAACCTCTACAGCAATTCATGAATCAAAGTAGTACTATTTGTAATCATCAAATTTCATTGGAGTATTTAATTTAAGTTAGCTTTAGCCTATAATACTTGTTTTTTAACATTAGATAAAGAAATTTCTAGTGCCAATCTTTTTTGATTACGATACACTCAAAGTCTAAAAATGTCAATCTACTTTGATAACCTATAATAGCATGGAAAGAATTAATTTCCACTTCGGCTTTTGCAAATCAAATTCGGAACTATAATTAGTTTAAAGCATCGCTAAATATTTTCACATTATTAAATAATTTTATGATCAAACTTCATTTAATTTTCAATCATCAATCTATGTTGGTTTCAGTATACTGAACTATTTAAAAATATCGACGTTCGACATGAAGGCTACGTTGATTTTGTAAGTTTAATTAAATAAGCTAATATTAAATTTGATTGTACTACAGAAATATGTTTAATCTATTAGTAAAATATTTGTCTAGTAATAATCCGTCAAATAGTTCTAGATTAATGTAACAAACGTACTTGCATTACAGTCAATATCTAAGGGGAAAATAACTATCTATTTTTTAATTTCAATTTTATAGGGCAAATTTTGCTCTTATATGATGCACGGGTTTTCAAAAAAGCATGAAAAAGAATTACGCACATCTCAGGTAAGACCACTATCGGTATTAAGTACATTCTAGATCATGTGCTAAAAAATAATGCAATACCTCAATACCACATCTGTAGCCATGAACTAAATTAACTTTTATTAATTAATATTCCATCAAAACTATAGATTCCCCGATGGAAAGATCCAAGAATTACGCCCAAGTCAGTTTATCAAAAATATTGTATAAAATACAGCAGTAACATAATATCGAAATCTATAGGCTAATAAATTTCTTCTGGCCTGCAAATTATACGTTGTACTCTGCCCAATAACTTAAGATTTTTACAATTTAATATTAGCATTCACAAAGATACGATTCAAAGAATTAACCCGATTTATGGATCAATGGCACGTTATATTACGGTTAGCAAGGTAAAAAAATAAATAGCTGGAAGTATTTTAATGGCTTATTATTAAAGCTAGTGCAAAGAATTAAACTAGTCATACAAAATATACTGCTATTACACAAGCTTGAATATTTTTCGATTTCTAAAGGAGGGAACATTAGGGTGCTGGAATTATAACGGAAAGCTGTTAAAGCAAGGAAAAGTAAGTTACACTAAAGCTATATACTTGTAGACAGAATACTGGTACGTCATTATTTATCGAATTAAAAATTGTTTACCAAATAGAAGTAATGTTAGTAGATTCGAATTTTTTTTATTTTGGTAAACTTCTCCTGGAATCATGAGAAAACGGAATGCAAAAAGTAGCAGCTACAATATAAAGCTCTACTCAAAACTGTTATTGAACAGATTATATTATCAAAAGGCTTTTCTTTATAAATTTCCAATAACCACCCAACTAGATTAACGCTAGTCAATAACAGAAAGAAATATATCAACCATGAGCTTTCTTAGACCCTTCTGCTACCAAATACGATATGGGCTTGTCATTATATTAGAGGGAATTATTGATACTCTTGCTATTAGAACTATAACTCACAAATAATATTGTACGACGGAAGTTAAGGTAGCAGATTACTTTATTTGGTACTTACAAGATTGCAATGAAAATATTGCACGATGTAGGACTTGCACGGAATCAAGATTGTAGATAATCACTAACAACGAATCTGAGCTAGCCTAGTAAATTCTGAGCTCTAATCCAAACTGATTTATATTTACGCACGCTACTACTGTATATAATGTGTATCACTAGATTTCGATTAATTTAGTAAAATTTCATTCCAAGCCAAATCACATCAGTATCGTAAAATTTTGATGTGGATAGCGAATACGTGGGTAGTCTGACATTCAACTTTAGTAGCTTACTAAGAAATTTAGCGGTAATTTATTTAAGATTATAAATGTTTTTCTTACTCTATAGATTGAAATGGATTACATTTCCGCTAAAAATTTATGGATTACCTGCTTTTGCGTCATACCCAACCTCAACAAGATCGTTATTGCTTTCACAAGTAAAGAAATAGGTAAAAATCTCAATCATTTGTCGCTTTGTCAGCGAATATGCAATTTAACTTCAAAACGAAATAGATTAATAATTCAACGATTACCAATCCATCATATGTAATAAAGACTGATAAAATTATGAAATATCACAAGTCTCATTACAAGCAGAGGGAATTCAATACTTTAAGTTCAATTGCAGTTATAACTTTTCTGCTAGATTATCTTACTACAGATATTATCCATTCTATTCTCCATTAATTAGGTTTTGACTTTATAATATTGAAATTTAAAATAATAAATTGGTAATTAAGCACTATCACTTATTTGTTCCATTTCAGCCATTTATAACTTTGATATTAGTGTCGCAGGCGATTTTTCGCTCTTATCAAGAATTACAGATCTACCAGCTATACCACTATGCATGAATACTTGGTAAATAGAATTTCAATCTTGTATGATAACTATCACTTCCATCAAGATAGAAACTGGTTAATTCTCTAAATCTCTTAGCTTGACCTACAATCTCTTCCATTAGGACTACCAACGATTTAGCTCATGATACCATGTTGATCTATGGTGATAACACAGGCATGGTTACTTCGATCAAATTTTCAGCTGCCTTACTGCCCTCGGTGGAATGGAGGCATTGGAGCGAAGGAAAAGATGGTGATTACAATTGATATTTAATCAACTTGTCAGTATTACCTAAAATAGGATCTACTCTTATATATTTCATTACGTACTATAGAATATATCAAAGTTTTCAAGCTTCCTGATGTTGTTAAAGAATACGATCACTTAAAACTTCAAACCATCCAAGCTCATAAAGAATGGGTCCGAGAAGGTAAAATAAACTAAAAAGTCATAGAAATATACATTTCCTAAAGTCTACTGAAAATTAAACTACACAATCAATCTAGTTTGCTAATACTTCTATGAAATTATAATTTTCGTTTGATGATCTCTCATCCTTACAATAGTGCGCTATATAGAAAAATTAGAGAGCTTCCTATCCTGTGCTACAACAGATACAAATTCTCTTGTTGTTATACCTGTTCGCCATGGAACATCCACAAATATGTGAGATTTTTCACCTTTTAGGGTGGCCAATTTAACAAAATTAGTCATTACTGAGGTAGTTTCGGAATAGTCTTAAAACATGTCCAGTTCAATTCTATCTTCCACAAACAAAGTGTAAAATATTTTACGATACTCTAGAATGTTTAGAAACACTTAAAAATTAGATTTTCGTAAATTAAAATAATGACTTCTGTTTCTATTTCGATATCAGGATTAGTTTTAATATCCTTCAAGGAGTTAATACATTTGATTATGACGATGAATTAAACATTATAGGTAAGGATCCAATTTTAGCCACTTGCATGATTTTAGACTTTGATCGAATTTGCTGCTCTGCAACTGTTCTCAGAACCACATTATAATTTTAAACTCCCAAATTTCTATACTTATAATATCGAAAAAGTGATCATTTCTCGTTTTTACAGCTACCGGAGGCGTAAATCATATGGTTCATCTATGGAATCCTTATGTTAATTCCAAACCAGTCGGTGTAAGTAGCGATTACCAAATAGAATATTTGAACTGAATAGGATCTATGCTAACTTATCATACTGCGTTATATTTGGCATATAGGTTCTGAGAGGACATTTAGCAAGTGTTATCTACACTCAATTTTATTCAGCTAAAGGTCAACTGATTAGTATGGGAAAGAATAGGGTTAGTTTGTGAATATTCGCATACAATATTAAGGCATGTAAGATAGTCCTTAATAGCAATCTGAATAAACAGAAATGCCGATTTATGTGATCAAAACAAAATTGATCATGATCATGGATAGCTGATAGCATAACTCGATGTTAAATTATGATGATACAATAAAGAAAGGAAATAATTTTATTTAGGTAATAAGAGTATGGGATGCAGAATTGCACGTATGCTTGCAGAGATTAAGTGGTCTTTTTATTAAAGGCCCAACAGGTTTGTTTAAGCTAATAGCAAATTGAAATTGCAGTTTAGCTCATTAGGGCGATTGATTTACCTTACTACCATGGTTATCCACATTCAATATCTTCCTCTATCAGACAGCCTGATTTTGATGACTTTAAAATCAATTTTAAAGCAATCCATTCTTTTTAAGTTCTAGAGCAAAGTTATGTCCTATCTTAATAGCAGTCAAAATGATTCTGTTTTCATTATAGTACACTGCAACTTATTTTTTGATGCTGATTATCGCCAAATTGTGGCGGCCATAAGTAAAGAGGTTCGCTATACGATCTTATGGAATCTTTTAAGATTTATTAAGTCTATTGAAATAGATGATAACATTAAGCTCAGTATTTCTAACTGTAGTTCAATTCTTATTTGATAATTAAAGCTAGTGTTTGTGGAAATGAAAGCGGAACTTTCGGATCATGTCTTAACTCACACAAAACCAGTATCATGTGTGATCTACAGCAGCAAGTGGAAAGAGGTGAGACGGGGCTAATTTCTCATATTTAAGATTTAGATTTTGATCTATTGCATCATGTGGCAGTTAGAAAATCGAATAGCCGTAACCAATTAATATTAAATATTAAATAATAGATTATTACTGCTGGAAAAGATTCTACCATAACCATGTGGCTCGTTGAAACTGGCCAAAGAGAAAGACAGGTACAGTCTATGTTCTCAATCGTCCATTCTATCTGCAATATCAGCATTAAGAATAAAAATTATTTTATAATATTTAAATGATTTTAGTTTGTCAATGCTCATGGTGAAGCAGAAATTACATGTTTAGCCCTTGATTCACGTCAAATTCAACTCTTTAGTGGCAGTGTTGATGGAACTGTCAAGGTAAGTTTATTCGTCCTCGTTAGATTATGTTTGACCTATGTGCTAAATGCACAAAGTTATACCGTGTGGTTTTCATCTGTGAATTTAATGAGGCGAGAGTTAACATTCTATATTGAAATGCTGGTCAAGGCTATCAAAAGGATAAGCCATTACAAAATCTATTTATCAATCGCCCATATTCCTCTTGTCGAATAGAAATATCTGAGATCGGCCACTAACTGCATGTCTAGTGCAATCTAAATATGGATTTAGAATGATTTATTAGATAGATGATGGTATAAAAATGATCAACCAGTTATAACATATTTAAAGAGAGGCTAGAAGTATGAATGACGATGACCTAACTAACCAAATGCTAGTGTAAAACTTTAAAATTATCAAGTAGGGAAAACTTTAAATTGCCTATACTTTAATTAATTACGTATCAGCATGTTAGAAATCGAATAAACAAAATTTCAAATTACTGTCTGTACGCTAAGCACATTAGTTACAAATATTTCCGTCTAAAGCAGAGAAATTCGGTCCCCCATACGCTTAGAATGATAATTTCTACCCTACTTTTGATTAAAAATGGTATCAGAATTCTTGAGAGCTATTTCAGCAGTCGATCTTTCTATCGCTGCGGTATTACTATAGAAAATAGATAAAAATAAAACTGTTGCGTCATATTTAGATTGTAAAACATTTAATCGAATCTTTTATCATCTTTCTTGTTCTAACTATTCTAATTTCTGTTCGTTGCATTTTTCCTTAAGATATGGGACATGAACGGGCATTGTCATCATACACTTGTGGTAGCAGATGGAAAGACAGTAGACATCAACCAAATACTAACGCTTAAACGTCAAATCTTTGTTGTTGGAGGAAATAAGTGAGCTTTTTTATTACTCTTATAGAATTAAATTAACTGAACCATGTATGCATTTTAATATAATTCATGAGAATAGGACATGAATTTTAATTTTTGTAGATCAATCTGTTGATATTTTGCTTTATTTACAATCTTATAACAAGGTATCCCTGCGTATTCCAATTTTCTGACATCAATGTCAACAGCAGTAGAATTTACCCTAATAAGTGGTCAGCTCAGGAGGTAAATAGAAAAATTACTTTTAAAATAATGAAAAGTCCCGGTATTAGTTATTGAAATGTTCAATGCATCAACTGAGTAAAAGTGCTTTATTTATCATACAAATCGATTGGCTATATTTTCATAAATAACTTAATCTCAATCCATCCCGTAACAAAAGGAGCATCAAGATGAAATTGTTTCTGTGGCTTACCATCCACCTTTTAAAATTGCTACTGCAAGCTTTGATGGAGAAATTATCACCTGGAGTCTAACAACTCAAAAGCCAACCAAAAAGTTTAAATTACGCGATAAATCAGCTAGTACCACAACATCAAGAGATGTACGTTAAAATGAGATAAATTAATTAAACTTATATTACCGACAAATAGTCTATACTCTACGATAATTGATTGCAATAGAGTAAGTCTACATCCAACTTGTCTTCAACGAACTCGAATATCAATTCAAAAGTAATTTACTATCAAGAAATTTATGTTACAATAGGATAAACATTTTAATCGTATAATGTCTGGAAATAGTCTATACTTTACGTTAATTGATTGCAATAGTTAGTCTACATCTTATTTGCCTGGTAGACTTCAATAAGCTTCAATATCAGTTCAAATATAAAACATTATCAAGAGACTTATATTAAAATAGGATAAGTTAATTAATTAATCATAAAAATCCTGGATATGGTCTCTACTTTGAATCAATTTTTTGCAATGGAGTTAGTTCACGTCTTATTTGCCTAGTAGTCTTCAATTAGCTCTAATTTCAATTCAAATTTAATATATTAGGGTGGCGATACACCAATTGGCTCACAAATTAGCCAAATTTTATATTTAGTTAAGCGAGAGAGCTCACTTTACACCTGCGATCTCGTCTCCTGCGGTGGTAAAGGAATGGTAAAGTTTTAAAAATAATTTTATGTTCGGCTTATTGATTACCGTAGATCATGTGGTAACGCCACAAATCTAGATATTATCTATTTGCACCTGCTTTTACTAACCATCGAACTCTTATTTGTCCACTAGGTTAGTTTTTGGAATACCTCTTCTATGCTACCTCATCCATCGGTCACATTTGTTGCCCATAATGAAGGTATTAAGTTGCAAATCAAGTTGATATTCCTATGTCAAGCCTTCATATTCTAATTGTAATTTAGTTTATCATTGACTGATCCTATCGATTCTTTTTCATACTAGTCAAGACAATTACTATGGCAGTAGATGAAAGAAATGATTATTTAATCACTGGTGATAGCGATGGAACTTTGAAAATATGGGATATCCAAGATTATTATAAAGCTACCACTGAAATCAAGCGACAAATGCCACCAGGTACAATAGTTTAATTCTCAAATTTTGCAAACATCCTACCTTCGAAAGGCGATACCCAGAGATTGTTTATTGGTTATACAATGAAACTTTCTGAAATTTAAATTAAATAATAGCTCATCTACTCCTGAAACTTTTCAACTCTGCTATAGCAATATTTACCCCTTTTAGTTTTTATTTCCTCTATCCAACTATATAAATAATAATATTTGTCTATATTCTTACAGCAATGGTAGCCTCCAGTCAGCCACATGCCGACGGAATTACTGCACTAGAAATTTGCGTTTACCAAAACGAGTTTTATATTCTAGCCGCGTCATTAGACTGGACAGTATCTATTAGCAATATCCGAGGTGTTAAAATTGGTGTGTTTGGACAGGTAATCTAGAAGTTGATCAAGCAACTACAATTGAAACTACTCCATTTCTAATAGAATTGATATTTAATAAATAAGGCGCAAAATTGGAAATTAGAAACATTAAAGGTAGAAATGGAGGAAAGCGAAGATAAACCATCATTGAATCGGGATGATAGCGATGCCATGAGTCAAGTAAGAGTTTCTCAATCGTCTTTCCTGTAGTACAATTTGAGATTTATGATAACGCTCTTCCGATATCGAGGAGAGCATTTTAATCTATATATGCTGATAAAGTTGAATCATGATTCAAAATGAGCTGAGCATTATATTTGTTATATCTTAAATGGCCATTCTATTTATTAAAGGACGATGAAGATCAATCCTTACAACCTGCTGGCGCTAGTAGTAGAAGCCTAAAGGAACTTAGAAAGCAATCAAACAAACTAAGTCATCAATCAGAGGATCAAGATGACGGAGGTAATAGCAAGAGCCACTTCGCGTCGTTATAATATAAAATCTAATTTCATTCTTCTAACTTTGCTCAACATTTTATCTTTCAATAGCTCATTTATCGTAATAAATGTATGTTAATAACTGCAGTTAATTATCCTATTCTATTACAGGAATAATTTTCCTGCCACCGATACCTAACAATGACTCCATAGAGGTATAAGGCCATGGTTTTAAAAGTAGCCAGATATGTAGTGTATAGCTAACATAAAATAATTTATTTTAAACTACTAAGGTAAATACTCTAGTATCACTGCTACAAATTTATATTTGATATTCATCGCATAGACCAAGCGGAAAAGTAAAGTTTCGAAGGATAGCCAAATAGGGCCGTTGCCATCTATTGGCAGCGCTCATAAAAGATCAAGTCTACGATCACGAGAATCTGCTAAAGGCAGATCAAGTAGAATGTCAGCTCATAGTCAATATAACGAACATTTTCATCCCTGGGATAGAACTATTCTAGGTTAGTATGGAGGACGTTAATACCACAACAACGTGCTATAGTTATAAAACCTCAAAAAGATTTTATAATTTTGCACATGTCATCATTTTATAGGTAAAACCTACCAAGAACACCACCAAAATAAGATCAAACGTCGATCTAAAATCATGAAGAGTTCCACTGTACCTGCACGACTTGCTCCTACAAGTAGTCTCAGCAACACAAGTTCTTATTTATATCATGTGAGTTTCTAACACTAAATTTATGTGTTCATAGGCCAATATTAATATGTCTGCAGCTATCAAAGCTCTTATATTCATTTTTATTCAAATTTGATATATTTAAATGCGCTGGCTCATTTATTGTACGGTAACATTTCTTATTTAGATGTAAAAATTCAGATATTTATAGAGGAATATTAAAATGACTTTAATATACGATATGACTCTTGAAAAGTTAAGATTATCATTTCTGAAGATATCAACTATTTTTTTACCGTTTCAATTGATGTGCAGTATAGTTTTATATTAAAGTGCAGAAATACAGGAACATTACATCGATGTTTACATCACGAGCAAACTTCAGTTAGATTATCAAGTGATAAGCTGCATGTAGCCAGAACTCAAAGATGAAAGTAGAAGAAATCTTAGAGTTTTTTACTTTAGCTAAGGATTAAAGTTAAACATGTTCCATTCAGAACTATATATTAAGTACACTTAGGCGATTATGTGTGTATACCAATGTTAAAGAATTCTCTCATAATTAGTATAATTCTTCATCAACTATTATGCACTTATGAACTATAAATAGTTTCTTTCACTGTTAGTCTTTAGATTGTTCTGCTGAACTAGAAGAAATTCCACAAATAAGACTACCTGATTTAAAAATAAGCACTAGAACTGCTAATTCAAGATATTACTCTCCAGGTAAATTTTTAAAGGCCTAATAGCCCTCTAGCATTTCTAAATCTTACGAATACTACCCAAAAACAAGAGCCCGTTGAAATTTAAAATTAGTTATCTGTTTCCAGCTATTGCTGCCTGACCACAGTCAGTAATCTCATCTTCTAACACCAAAGGCGAAACAGATTTTAATAAATGCTTCGATATTTGTATAGGTACAAGATCGCCCACGTTAATGCCAGCAACTAAATTTACGGAGAAAAATCTATTTCCAAAATATCTATTAGAATTTGAAAGCAAACTTAAGCATATTCAGAAAGGACAACTGCATCAGGTCTTCTCTAGACGTGGAAGGCAACATTGAAAATCAAACATAAACTATACCTTCAAATAAAGTTTATTTCTTACCGTCAAATGAGCCAAAAACTTAGAGCATTAGCATAATAATTCTTTCTGCCTACCGCTGGTGTTTAACACTAACAACACGAATAGTTACTGGAATATTCTGCCTGGATATATCCTATGCAGAAAATATTTACCGAATAGAGCATTAGCTACATTTATAAACATTACGAAGAATTTATATTTTATTTTTGTAAATATTATAATTATTATAAAAAGTCAATTAAAAGCATGAGCATTAGCCATCGTTATTAACAGACCTTATCATGTTATAATCCTGATTTATAATTATTTCGGTCTCGACTTGCGGAAATTTAATTTATATCCAATTGCCTATTTAAAATTTGCAATTCATGTTTAAATTAGCCGTGTAAATAAATATTCCTATTAGATTGTAGATCGAAATGAAAGCTTAAGTTATATCTATTGTTATAATGAAAGACTTTCTAGCTATTGATTTTCAAGTAAAATCGGTTCTTGTCGAATAATAAAATCATGTGGTCTTTTGATTTTAAAATGATAATTACTACATTATAAAATTATTCTAGTTTTACTGTTCATTGCCCAAAATTAAATTTTATCCATTATACCGAGTTAAGATGCCTGCTAGCGCTCATTTATTTAGGTAGAGACTGCCAGTGCTTAACAACGTATTTTTTCGCCTTCGTGTAAATTACTTTGTTATATGAAGAAAATATTTGATTATGTAGTCTCTAATGTAGTCTACTAGATGCTAACTATTGCAAGTTATTGAACTTGTCTGCTATTAACTATATCTTAAACGCGATCTTCGACGGTATAGTTTCATCGATCAACACAGTCTTCCTCAACAGTAAACTTAAAATCTAAACTCTATGTTATATATAAACTAGTATACACAACAGGAAGACAAGTGATCATCTACATGGCTAGGTGTGATTAACAAAAATATCTTCCTTTCTATATTAATTAATCCTGTAAATAAGGCCAGCATCCATAAAATACAAATTAGAAAAAATCTTAGATTTTAATTCCAAGATCAATTAGCAGCATAGCCGTGTAATGTAACTTAGTATTGTGATTGTAGACTGTTAGCCATGTTTAGTATAATGTACGGTATATATTTATCCTAAGAGATATTTGGTAGCTATAACTATAGACTGTTGTGGTAGAGACTCTATGCTAGAGTACAGATGACTATATACAGTAAGCTGTTGAGTTACTAATAAGGCTATAGATAAAAATAGAACTGTAAATCATATATTAGGATATGGTTAATTCATTGTACTTTGGCTGGTGTGAATAATGTCTACGTAAGTACTGTAGTCGTATCCATATTGGTTTAATGATGGTCCGCAGTAGAATAGTCTTACTAAGAATAAGTTAACTATGTGTAAAATAAGGTAAAAGATTGATATGCGGATTGTAGCTGCGAATGCTACGGAAAGTATAAAAGCATGCAACTTTAGATTATTCTGTTAGTTCGTTGTAGAAGTCTTTAGTAGTAGTATTCGGCTAGAGTAGAGCTGTGTGTAGTTAATCTTTGTATAAGATTCAATAAAGCCCTTATTTTTCTAAAATTTGGAATCTCGTGATTGGTATATATCACAAGCCGGTATAGCACAATGTAATTTAGAAATAACCCGTTTGCTTAATTATTCTGTCAACTGCAAACATAAGGTAGCAGCAAAAAGATGATATTGTGTAGTCACATTAAAATTAATTGAATAACGTAAATAAGTTTATATTCTGGAAAACGATCTAATTATAAATTAATTCTGGAATAAAACTACATTCATTAAGAAAATAGATTTAATTAGTAAAAACCATGTTCGCTTTACCGGAATTAATATAATTACATAAAATTCCGGGGTGATGGTCAAATAATCGTAAAAACTAGAAAATTATCGTCAATAAAGAATAGCAGTGTTAGCAGAATCATGAAAAGATAGTAACCTACATGTCATAAAAGATGCTAAGCGGATACTTGGCAACTAGAATTGTTTATTCATAAAACATTGTAGAAAGTAACGTCTACTTGAGGATTGCGCTTTGCTACATTAGTACCCTGTATTTACAATCATAATCGTGATGCCCTCAATTAATAATGACACAAATATACTATCTCTGAAATTATGTCTCCTTACGCTTATAAAATAGTGAAATCTAAACGTATGGGTGTTATAACCAAGTTTTAATTTTATCCATTCCCGGAGGGGGAGGGGAGGTATAAATAGCAAGCATAAAATGAAAGAATTACTTGAAAGTCGAAAGTTATTTTCTTTCTTATCCAACTGATAAAGGTTTAACGAATACAATAAACATATTTGGCTGTATTCTTGCATAGTTCTGGCCAATAGTAACCTTACTAAGCTGACATTATAATTATTAGGACAAGATACAATATCACATCGCCATTTTCGATTTTATCAATCGTGTTTTCTATATAGCCTTTCTATTTTATACGTAATTCTATCCACGATAACTTAATATGAATAATGAAATCCAAAATACAAATGCAGGGGTAAATATGCATTAACTTGAAGCGTATTCTGAGTTCAATATTATCGACAATTGTGTAGCATTTCTCGCATAAACTCAAGAGTCGCTTCGGCTAATTATTTATCAGATAGCACCGTATTGTCACCTAAATATAGCAAATATTAAATCTACCAAAAACGAACTATAGTACTAAATATAAGTGGAAATAGATTTAATGAATGAATATATATGACCGCAATCATTACTTTTTTTAAGCGGCTGAAGCAGGAGAGTTGTATCCTAATGCTTGTATAAAGAATTCGCTGTATAAATCAATCTTACTCTTAAAATGTCCTGTTCACAATTAATTCGATAGATAATGCCATGGCATATGATTTTGATAATTGAATAGTTTTTGAAAATATTTACTATGTGACTTTGACTTTTATTTATCAATATAAAATTATTTCTAAATTGCTGACGAAATTAATTTATATGGTTCCTGCTAGCTATCACTCTTGATTGATGGTAACATAAAGTAACTCTTACTTCTTAGTCTAGCTATTAACATAAGACAGTAGCTTCCGTAAGGAGTGATTAATAACTGAAACACATAAAATATAGATGGAAATAAAAACCCAATTTCTTTACCAGAATTAAGTAAAGACTACAGGCTTGATGATAGCTTTGGATTAATGTATTGAGAAAGATACCGAAAAGTATTTTCATTACATTTAATGTAAAGACAGAAATGCTACGAGAACAAATGCTAATCAATGTCGAGATGAGTAGAGTAGAAATCAATCAATCAGTAGCAAGACTACAGTTAAATATGGATCCACAATTTTTAGGTCAAAATTTTATAATGTACTAGCTGCAATACCCTTTCATCTTAGGAAATTTACATCACGTACAATTATAGCAGTTTATAGTAAGTAGTGTTAGCTAAATAAGATAGTTTAATGTTAGCAGATTTTAAGAATAGCTAAATTTAACAGAAATATTGCGGACATCTATACTTATAGTCAGTCTACGCCCACGTCGGTAACTTATGTATAATTCAATGAATATAAAATGGGTGGAGTTATTCCCCTCAGTCACATATTTTCTAACCCTAATATACCATATTCGATCTTTAATCGTTTAAATTGTGCCCAGTCGATTGTTAACCGACTACGAAACCAATAAATGGATAGTATATGACCGCGAGTTAGTGGTAGCGTAGTCATGATTTTGATGGTAGGATAAGTTATAGGAGTCAATCCATAGAACCTGTTTATGGTCAGCTAATTTAATGGTAAATTATTTGCTATCTTATTCGCATATTTGCTCACCTTTTTCTACCCTATCTAATCATCAAGTATTTAATTTAAACAAGTAAATGGCCACTTAGCAATAATATTCTATATACGCTTTTGGAGATAAATATATCTATCTTAATTGGCTGCTATCAGCAGCCGTTAAAACTACGTATAGTATAAAATTAATAGTGGTAAAGAAAATTGACATAAAGACGTAAGTCAACTTTAATTAACGTTCTATATTTACCAATTTAATTTGTTCTTAGCTAGACCGAGAACAAATGAAAATTCAATTTTGCATATTTAACGGAAACATAATCCATGCTTAACATACGCCGCCATTCGTTGTCTGATCTGGATCAGCAGATTGATAGTAAATTGAGAATTGACACGTGCATTTACCAGGTGAACTGAAACAAAATTAGATACTATCTCCTTTTACCTTCACATTTAAACCTGCAGGTTAATGCCAGTTAGTAAAATTTTTATGTAGGTGTATATATTAATCAATACATAATCCATTCCGATAATTGTATTAAGTATTGAATAAAAATTAATATATCTGATAGAATCATCAGGGACACTATTTACGTACGTAAACTGATCGTAGATAATAATATAAAAGTATTATAAGCATTAAGAGAACTGAACTAATGCTAATAAATTTTGTTTAATGGATTACAATTTTACTCATTTTTATTCATTCCATCCCTTTACCAGATATATATTTGATTGATACATTAGATAGATATTAAATGATGAAATTGACCATCTTTATTTTTAAAACATCAAAATCAATGCTAAATATCAGCTACTATTAGTTATCAATTTTTAGTTACAGATTCGGAATCTACGTATTATAAAAATTTCGTGTGTATTTATGGAGATATATATCCGTGCTGCACGCCTCCCATTGGCCTCAATTTATAAGAGTAGAAAATTGAAGTAAAGAAGGAATTCTATCGCTGTGTGTTAAGAGAAGTGAATTAAGGCTAAATATTAAAGATATTCTATCCTCCTCCGATTTAATTCATTCTGGTCGATTTATGAAAGCATAGGCGGAATTCTTTTCATGCCTGTAAAAAGATTAAATTAATGGTAATACATATATTCTAATTGATAGCACTATTACTACTTCCTTTGACCTTACTCAATCCTTAAATTTTGAGTTAATATCTCTCGATCGACGATAATTGCAATAAAAGTCTATCAGTCTACTTGAAAGAGGTTAAATCAATTATTTAAATAGCCTCGCCCATTCTAAACATATGGTTTAGCACTAATGAATAATAATATGGAGATAAAAGTATTTACTGATGGAAAACCGGTTTAAACGTTTCTATAAAGTACGCTTAAAAAATTCTCTCCTTTAACAATACTAAACTACTCTTTCAATGCTGTAATAGAACCACCTGTATCAGGCAGATCGAGCTAAATATTTTAACATATGTATAGTTTGCAGTATCATACGGTATTATAATATTCATTTTCTCATTGGAAAGAGTATCTAATTTTGAAGGCCAGTAACTTTACAGGGTATATCGCTCTGCAATATCTTCATCGTAACTATGCCATGTTCGTAGTTTAATGATCTTACAATCTTAGGCCGAATTAGATTCTATGCCAGCGGTAAAACGCTTAAGCTTCAAAAATTTCGGCGCAGTCTACAAGTTTTCAGTTCCAACTCTTAACACTTGGATAAGAGCGATTGTCTTACTTTACTATTTCATCATCAGCCACGGCCCACCAATATGCTTTATTCTATGCAAACCATTACACACCCATATTTCAAGGTCAAACCAAGAAAAAGGTTATTATTCCACGCAATTGCAAAAATGTTCTCTGAGTGTTAATACTATTAGGTTTCCAATCATATACGGAATTTTCAGGTATATATTTTCAAACGGAAGTACAGTAATACTAAAGATGAAGGATAGATAGCTCAATATAATGATTACTTCAAAGTCATGGCCTAGGAAATATCATTATTAAACCCAATTTCAAGAATATTCTATATCCTAGAAGTTTGTAATGTATACTAATCATGCGTAGGATTGGCCTTCTGATGCGATTATTCGAGTGAATTAGTATCCGATATTAAGCAGATTAATCTACGTGATCTATGCTTACACAGGCAATCTTGCAATCTGTTTTTATCAGCCGCCATATGTCAAATTGACTATATTTAAATTAGCGATAAACAATTAGAGGATGAACAATAATATATTAGTGTCATATTTAATAAAAGCTCAATGGCTATAATTCCTAGAACGAGAGCATTATGCCTAGTTTAATATTGTCGTAGAAGCCAATTATTCATTTCTAGACTATGATAGACATTCCATTGGTCGATCTTTAAATGGAGAACAATAACGAAACCTCTTTGGTCTTATTACGTGCTAACCTTTAATATTGCTTGCTAGGTTATCGAATAAATTAGTAGAGCATAGGTTGTAACTCGGCCTTCGTACTTACCTAAAAGATTAGTAGCTATTCCATCGGGTAAAGATAGAATATATTTCTCTCCGCAACATACTGGTTAAAAGTATGGACGACTTACAAGTTGAATCTACCGCAGCACCTACCAATACTACAACACATCCATATAATGTGGTTACTAATGAAAATTTAAATGAAGTGTTTCATGTCATCATTGGCATGATCGTTTTCTGTAAGTTGATGCATTAAGAACACATTTACAGTACAAACATGCTAATATTGATACCAGGTGAGCAAAATCAGTCGTATTATGTCGATGACTTAATAGTTGCAATAGAGACCACAGAACCTATAAAATTGAGATTCTAGAGATATCAAATGTATCATTCCGGGCGTTAGAAGATTCCTAGACAGTACATCAATCTACTTTCAGCGAGAGCTAGGATTAATATAATCCTGGCAATGGGCATTAAATTATTCTCTCCGTTTCTTTATCACCTTTTTAATGTCCAACTTTTTATCGAAAATGTCTGTAGATAGTTTTAATCCTGTAGCGTATGTGTCCTATGTTTTACTCTTAATTTTATTTCTCTTTCACAACAGTTTACATTCTACGGTATTTCTAACTAGGAAATTTGATGAAACAAACGGACCATAAGCTAAGATCCTGATTTTTACAAGCACTAAGCTAACATGAGCATAAAGTCTTCCTATAAACTTCCAATAGTCCCAAACTTATGGAGCTAAAAGCTCTCACAAAGCAATTAACGCTTCATATTAATTTAGCTTTATTAATTATTAATGATGATCGCCTCGCGAGCAGGCAAACAACAAGCATATAATATATTCTACTGATTAATATATGATACAGTATAGAGTGTTGTAATAGTTTATTATGAGATTACTGTAGTTCACTGAAAATTTTAGATGTTATTCACACATAAAACCTTATCCTTATAATGTGCAGTTTACTCGGCTCTGAGCTGGTCTTGGATATCAGCACATAATTTTCAATAAAATAATTTGTAACTATCTTGCTGTAGGAATTGACTAGTCTGTTGTAGATCAAATATTGCTATACCGTAATGCTGATCTAGTCGCATCTAGCGCCTTGATTTAGTACTTTTATTGCAAGCTGATTACGACACCCAAGCATAATTTAACCCAAATGTTATCTGTATCTCTTTAAAATATCAGAAGCAATTTTAGGTTCCACTAAGGAACTGAAACCACGCCGTTAATTAATGTTGATACAAATATATTAATCTTCTGTAAGTTATTCCCGATGTAGTCTGATCAAAAATTAAGTAAAAGTTAATGATTAGGGATTTAACGACATCATTAAGCGAAGCCTAGCTATCAGGGTGCCAAAAATTACTTTCTAGAGTACTTGCTATAATCAAAGCTTGACCAATAGCATGCAACGAATATCCTGTATTGCTAAAATAGAATTGAACTTCATTTCTTTTGTGAGAGAATTCAATCATGACCTAAATTTACAATTTGGGCTATCACAGCTCAAAGATCATTCAAGTTTGAGCCTAGCTGAGAAATAGACATGGCAATATGGTCATAGTCTACCAACTAAAATCCGTATTTAGGAAGTTATTTTATGATCAATGCCGTAGTATTGTTATACTAATTAATGTCTAAAATGATATAATTTTCAAACAAATGGAACTGGTTCGAGAAATCGATTGTCTAGAGTGCTTGTGGATCTACACTGTGTATAATATATATATACCAATCACGAGATTCCAAATTTTAGAAAAATAAGGGCTTTATTGAATCTTATACAAAGATTAACTACACACAACTCTACTCTAGTCGAATACTACTACTAAAGACTTCTACAACGAACTAACTGAATAATCTAAAGTTGCATGCTTTTATACTTTTCGTAGCATTTGCAGCTACAATCCGCATGGCAACCTTTTACATTATTTTACACATAGTTAAATTATTCTTAGAAAGACTATTCTACTGCGGACCATCATTAAACCAATATGAATACGACTACAGTACTTACGTAGACATTATTCACACCAGCCAAAGTACAATGAATTAACCATATCCTAATATATGATTTACAGTTCTATTTTTACCTATAGTCTTATTAGTAACTCAACAGCTTACTGTATATAGTCATCTGTACTCTATCATAGAGTCTACACCACTACAGTCTATAGTTACAGCTACCAAATATCTACCGTATTTTATATTAAACATGGCTAACAATCTATAATCACAATACTAGTTACATTACACACACATTGATCAAATTTAAGATCCTGTAGATATCGTATAATTTTTAGCTAACCTTGACATTTGTTCGATGGAAAATGAAAAATTTTCCATAGTTTATCGCCAAAAATTCGTATCAAACCGGTTTGTGTAACTTAATGTTAAAGGAATTTTTAATTTCCGGAAGTAAAATGTGCAGTACATATATTACGTAGCATATGAAGGAGAATTTTCATCAGTGAGCTTATGGAAAGAAATTAGCGAATTACAAAGAATAATATATGATAGTCTCTCAACATATTAACAAAATTCTTTGAGATAGTAATCCGGTTTCTTAATAATACTCAAACTTCCATAAAACTGATGTTATATCTATGATACTAGCTTTAATTTAATAACACTATTATCAATTCATATTATCAAATTAATACCATTTTATTTTTATTTTATCAAATTGAAATCAGTTATGCAAGCAGGATTTGCATTTCTAGAAGCTGGTTCAATTCGATCGAAGAATACCACCAATATTTTAGTCAAGAATTTAATGGATGTTTGTAAGTTATTCATCTCAATAAGAAATGCTCTTGAAAACTGTTATCATAGATATCTATAATGGTAGATATTTCTGTAAAATGATATAGAATTCCAGAACGTATGAGTAAGTTTTACATGGAAATTCTATCGTATTTATGTAATGTAAAATAGAGTGCAGATAATTGTAAAATGCAGATACAGATTTTAATAATTCAGAACCGTTACTTGAAGTAGATATTATAATAAATCGTAACAAGAAGTAAAAATAGTAGAGAACTAAAATAGTAGCTTGTCCTTTAAGAATTTGGAAACATTAGTAGATATGTTAGCTAAACCACAGTATTTATCAGTAGATGGCAACTATTTTAAATATTTCAATGAAACGTATACATTTTGTAAAGCTTATAAAATTAATATTACATGGAATAATTAAAATATTGGGCATTACTAATTTAAAAATGTAGATAACTGGATAAGCATCTTGAGTTTAGTGAATTTTGAAAATTAAGTTGAAGGCTAGCTACTATTTTACAAATTATGGACAAATGATCTGGATTTCAGAAAATTGATGCCATTACTATCATCTGACAGCTTATAAATAGTAAAGTAATTAAATACTATAGATTGGGAATCGTTGTGTTATTTAGCATACTACTTAAGCCGAATCGAAACTGCTAACATATAGATAGAAAATAATCCATTTTGATCTTGCATTGATAGTTATCGGTGCTGTGTCCTTTTGGGCTATTGGCTATGCTTTAGCATTCGGTAAAGGAACTCCATTTTTTGGTACCGAATATTTTTTTTTAATTGGCCTACCATTGACTGGATATTCTTATTGGTGGTATCATTATGTATATGCTGCTACTGCATCAACAATTGTGAGTGGTGCTGTGGCAGAAAGAACAGCTTTCGGTGGCTACTTGATATATTCTTCGATCATCACTGGTCTGTACTGTTTGTAATATCATATCCTTCAATAGAATCAAAATCTTGACAAGCTAAGAATGTTCCATTGCCAATTTAATAAGAATATTTTTACGTTAATATTAGCTTTCATCTATCCAATTGTGGTCCATTGGGCTTGGGATCCTCAAGGATGGTTGCTATATGGCGTAGGGAAGGTCCACTATGAGGTTAGTTTTGCTAATATTAAAATATCTTCTACCCGGTAGTTATCTTAGCATATGAACATCCAATAGCGGTTAAATTTAACCTGCTTCCAGTAATTAACAAACTATGCAATAGTTCATTTGGTGGCGAAATCTCAGGGTTGTAAATGCTTACAAGTTATGTATTCGTAAAATATACTGTATCGCAAATTTAATCACTATAAGGAAATAGTTGCTCTTATTAAAGCACGAAAATGAATCTATATAAGAAAATACTTTACAGTTACATTCTGGAGATCTATCTTTACAGTATCTGATAGACAAAAATTATTTATAATGCTTTTTTGAAACATCTTTATCCATATTAAAGGAAAGTACTTTCTTAACGGATATCTTTACTATAAAGTAAGAGCTACTTATTCTACTACTCGAAAAAATTATTTCTAGCATTTACTGTCCAGCAAATTTTAATCCTATTTTATAATTCGTTAATGACATTTGTAATTAGGAGGTAGAAAAAGTATGATACTTTTATAAAGCCAAATTCGCGATAACCTCAGGCTATAGCACCCATCCATACCTTACTTATTTTACCCTCTATCATTAAATTTATACAGTATTCGTATGTTAAGTTTACGCTAGAGATAAATGGACCAGATTTAGAGGATGCCGTCTTTTTTTAGCTCTACAATTCTAATTTGCACGTATCAGCTGTAAATAAAACTAATAAATACCTTCTCGGGAATTAGAAGCTTTGATGGCAGGCATATTCTGTCAAGCCAACAATAATTTCTTCTACAGATGCAATAAGTAGTAAATCTGGTATCTTTCGCTATGGAATCTTTAGTTTAAAGATTCTTTTCTTTACTGCTTGTAGGATTTTGCTGGTAGTAGTGTCGTTCATTGCGTCGGTGGTGTAACATCATTAACGGGAGCCTTCATCTTAGGACCTCGAATTGGCCGATTTGATGAAAATGGCAAGCCCAAGACGATACCTGGCCACACCGTTCCGGTGCGATTCTTTATTCATTATTTTATGCTTCCTTTAATTTAATTTATTTTAAAATCAATCTCTTCACTAAGCGCCAAAGTGTCCATACAATATCCACTGAGACAAATTAAAATGCGCACTTAAGTAATATTGGCTATAAGCTTGTTATAAATAATTGCGTAATTACCTCGTTGTAAAATTTACTTTCTTCTTCAATAGATCGATTGTCACAGTTAGATATTTTTAAAATCAATTTTGTCCCTACGCTCTAAAAAATCTATACTATATTTATCGAGACAAGTTAGAATACGTACTTTAGTAATATCAGCTACTGTACATACTTATAATTTATTGCATAGTTAGTAAAAGTTTACCCTCTAGCCCAACGGATCGGACCGATTGTCACAATTAGACTTTTTTAAATCAAGTTCTGCTCTGTGCTCCAAAGTATCTATACAATATCTATTGATATAAATCAAAATTCGTACTTTAGTAATATCGGCTATACTACATACTTACTATAACTAATTGTATAATTGGTAAGAATATGTCTTCTTCTCCAACTGACCGATTTTCACAATTAGATATTTTTTTAAAATCTGTTTCTGTGCTGTGTTCCAAAGTATCTATACAATCTCCTTCGAAGAGACTATATAGTTATGATTGATTGCATAATTGGCAAAAAAGTAGTTCTTTTTTCCATCAAATTGGTTGTCACACTCATACTTTTTTAAATCAATTTCCTCACTATGTAACGAAGAGTCTACAATTCCGATCGAAATAAGTTAAAATACGTACGATATTTATATCGGGTATATGTTCATAATTAATTACATAAATATTATTAGCAAAAATGATAATCTTCTGTACTGGACCGATTTTCACAATTAGACTTTATTTATAAGCGTATATAAATTAGTTAGCAAGTTTAATGTTTTTTAATAGCGATAACTTAAAAATAAGACTTCTACAGCAACTTTCAGTAAATATTTTTACGCCCTTTAGCGGTACTAAGATATGCAATGAGTTTAACTATTCTTCAATTTCATTTGAACAGCTTGTTGCCCTTGGTGGATTTATTCTTATTTTTGGATTATTTGGCTTCAATGTTGGTTCTCAATTCCGTGTTACTTTCTACGGTGGTGGCCCAGTTGCTGCTTTAATTGCTGTCAATACCGCTATGGCTTGCTCCGGTGGTGGTTTAACTGCCTTATTGATCAAACGATTACACCCAAAGATAGGTGGTAATAGCTGGAGTTTATTAGTGTGTTTGAATGGCAGCCTTGCTGGAATAGTAAGCAAATATATACGAAGATAACATGAACTGATTTCGTTCGCATTAAATCACGATATTAATTATTGGGATATGCTAATTTTTAGTACCGGGACCATATTTATTGAAGCGCTAGTTTATCACTTTCAGATGAAAAACTAAGGAAAGATTCGAACTGAAGATTAAAATTTAATTTTACAGGTATCCATCTGTGCATCATGTAATGCGGTTTATCCTTGGGCAGCTTTACTAATTGGTGCTATAGCTGCTACTGCTTATGTATGCTGGAGTGAGATATTTCTGAGATGCAAAATCGATGATCCATTAGATGCTGCAGCCGGTAAAATAACCGCTATCGAAGCATAATCATAGCTGATTGATGTCAATATTATTCGATATAACCATTTACTTATTCAATTTTTAGTGCATATGGGTGCTGGTATATGGGGTGTTATTGCTCAGCCTATCTTTAACTTTAAAACTAGCATATTTTATACTGGATTTACTGCTTTATCGTGGGCTCGATTTGGTTGGAACTTATTAGGATTAGGTTGTATTATTTTGTGGACTGGATTGACATCTGGTTTAATGTTTTACCTACTTAATAAATTTGGAATGTTCAGAGTATCGGAAGAAATTGAATTGAAAGGTATTGTCAAGAAAAAAGCTGTTATAACTGCATCACATCAAATTATGTGAGACAAGATTCAATTCTTAAAATTTTTCCTTGTCAATAATATGATAGGCTTAGATTTGCCAATTCATGGTGAACCTGCATATCCTAGAGCTGCTTATGGTTCAGGTTGGGGCATGGATGATGATTACGACGTTGAAGAATCTATCATATTGTTAAAACAGCGTAAAACATCAGTGCCAGAGCAGGACCAAGAGGAGAAGGAATAAGCAGCATCACAAGGAATGAAACTTACTCTCGAAAATCTGAATCGTTCGGATAGTTGATAATATCCAGAATTAATACCTATATGACAATCTTTCTTCAGTAAAGTACTCTTACTAGCTAATATTCTTTACGATTAATAGAGCTTTAATTGAAGTGATTTATGAGTACAATTTAAAACTCTGAAAATTTTTAATTATCCTGGCTTAGTTCTAATTGGGGTTGTAGTTGCTTATCGCGGTAGAGTTTGTTTTTTTCTCGAAAAACTAGAATGTATTGCATAGCAGTTATTGTAATAAATTGAAAAAGAATTAACATCAATATTTTAGGCAATTTTGATTCAGGTGTGATCAATTGTAGTAATATTACCTTAATATCGGTAAAGTAGTAGAGATAAGCTTACGATATATGTTTTTGACGTGATAAACCACGGATCATCTTGATTATAGCTTTAGATTTAAGAGTATTAATGGTCTAGATTAGTTTCTGATGCTATAGAATTTGTTAATAAATTGAACTGCCATCGAAATAGCGTATCAATACAGTAGTATATCTATATAGTTTCCAATTAATATTAATATACTTTATATTTCACTGTAGCGGTTGATCTATTTCTGGTTATTCCAATCCATACTTAGATATATGAATATTAGATCTAAATACTTGTCTAAACATTTATCGGTAAAGTATTAATGGTATAAGTGATGAATATTCAATTACACCATTACTCTTACACTTTCATTCGTTCCTACAGGTAAGTAGATAAATATTAGATTTAAATACTAGTCTAAATATTTATTGGTAAAGAAATTATCGATGATATATGGTAGATGGTAAATATTTAATTAAACCATTGCTTCTTACATTTTTAGTCGTTTCTGCAGTAAAACATCTTGTAACAATTAGCAACTCTAGATGCGTTGCCACTTTTGTACAACTAATAAGTTGTAGAGCGGCTAACTATCATTACTACCAATTAAAATATTCCATCTTTATCGATAATGCTTTAAAGAGCTTATATTTAATTTTAGCAATAAACCAATTAGGAGATCATCGCTTTTAAGCTATTTATCCGTGTCATATTTCATTATGGATCAATTCTAGTAATTCTACAAAGAAATTACTTCAATATTTGAACCAAATAAACAAAACCGTTTATGAGAAATAAGTTGATTGGTCAGTATTCCATGGCCAGTACAGTAGTCAATTTTGCCTCACAGCTAGCTAGCGATGTGTAATCAAAATATAATAAGACAGATCCCATCTGCTACTGAAATTTAATATTATAATATTCTATGGACGTCTTTTTATCCGCTTCTGAACAGTTTGAAATTAACGGTAACTCAATAATCTTAAAAATGCCAATTTTTGAATTACTACCAAAGATCGAGTATGGATCCTTGGAAAAAGTTTAAATTTTAAATAAACAGTAAAATCTCAAGATTAATTATCATTTCTTAGATTAGTAAAAATCTACAGCACGGCACTGAGACAATTAATTAATTATTGCGTCATCAATGATATAACTTTGGTGAGTAATGAATCATATTTTAACACCTAGCCATTAATTAACTACTATTAGATGTGATTGAAAGTGTGCTGCAATTCTTACTATATTCAGTATGTAGATTTGGCTATAAATTTATTATTGTTTTGCACCAACGAAGTTTGTGAGCTTATATAAAAGCCTCAAAGTTCTTAATTGAGAGAGTTGATAAGTTAGTCGATAATAGATGGTCATCAGTATTTAGTAGAAGATTGCAAGTTGCGAGCTTAATCGGCCACTTAATAAATAGCATTTAGAATAAAGTTTTGATTCTTAACTTGAGCATTTTATCGTCTAAAACTCAAATCTAGAATTGGTAGATTAAAGTGTGCTTACTGTTAGTTGCTTAGATAGTTAAGATTGCTTTAGAGGAAAAATCCCGCTAATTTTTGTGCTGCAATCTCGGTTGTGACAGACGTGTATGTTGTGAAATAAACTGATGATGGAAATCATTACTAGAAAGTATGATCCAACAGCAATGACCTGACAGGATGATCAGCAGGTATCTTGATCTCATAATTCTATTACAGACAATGAAATTGAAAGAATTAGGAAAATTATTACGAGGTAGTATAGCAGGAAATCTAATTTATCAAAGACAGAGCATTCGCAGTACATAATTTAATATGTAGTCGACAAAAAAAATGAATTAAGATTCTATTGCTAATAAGATGATCAAGTTCCTTATAAGATAAGCCGATAGTATAAAATGAGAAATAATGTCGTACTGCAATTCAGTTCAATCAGTCAACGGATTTATTTACACAAACAGATATTAATATTATTATGAAACAAGGCAATAGTGTATAGTCAAAATGGAAAGGAAGTAAGTGCTACGATAATTAACTGATGGGATGGATTAACAGATAGCTAATGTTCTACTCCATACCTTTATAATTAACGACATCAAGACAATTACCTATAATACCATAGGTAGACGAAGCAATTAACGCCAAATCTATTTGCAACTACCGGAATGGCAGTAAAAGTGTATAAAAATAATAATAATAAATCATCATAATTATCATCGCTAATATCTGTACGTGGAGATCCATAATCTGACCTTCGAATTTTTATTATAGAGGAGAAATAGATATCTTACTTCTATACGGTTACTATTTATTTTTATTAACATACATGCTTCATTCACATCTAGCAAATGACTTTTAATAACTATCTCAAATATTGTAGAACTAAGTTATTTAAATTCTGTCAGTAATTGTTTAAAATCTTACAATACACGTTTCTGGATACAGTAAATGAATGATGTAAATAAAGGCTTAGCAATCTAATATTACAGTATATGGAGGGCGAAGGTCTTTCCAATTGCTTACTGTTTGAAGTAACGCATGAAGATAATATCGATTGAATGGATACACTTGTAGTTTACTGCAACGAGTACCTTCAGTAATAAATTTATGAAGTTAAATACCTTTAGTAATAGTACAACTATTCAAGCTTACAGAATAAAGAGCCTAAGAGTACATTTAATTAAGAAAGGAGGACTGCTGATAAATCCAATCATCTAATATATAATTCGCGTATATATAAAGAGTCGATGAGAGTTCTTTGTGCTTGGTTACCATGGCCAAATCTGTAATCAAAAGTGTATTGATCAAGTTAACAATATAATAACCGCTGAATTCTGTACAAATAATAAATCAATAGTTGTATTATGTGATTTAAGATGATAAAATAGATGACAATGGCGGCTGGGTTAGCTTTGTTCTACTATTAAAAAGTAAATAGGTTAGGCTAGACCAACTGCTGATCATTGGAATATAGTCATTGCATGCATTTGTTTTAATATTTATGGAAGCGGCTCTAAATAAGATTGTATCATCATCTGCGACTGATTATGTATATCCAAAGGGAATTAAAGTTTGTGGATTCTGAATTCTTTACGTTATTCTAGTTTATCAATTTAAAATTAACGTGATAGTTGATTTAACTGTAGGGCGGTGATATGATAGTTTAGCTTTAAGCATAGCGGATTAAGTCTTAAGCTATTCGTTAATTTTACAAATTGATGAGCAACCATATCTAGCCTTAATCCACTGTAAGATGTCAACGAGTGGGATATTGATCGCTTCCAACGTAACATCGACAAAGAATCCGTGGCAATTAAATACGCTAGAATATAATGTAATAGGAATCTTTCACATCGTTACTGGCCTTATCGTTTTCTGTAAGTTAGTAGGAAATACATATTTAAAGCTTATTTTGACTTTGATATATAGAAATAACATATGGCATGCATTTGACTAGTTCGTACACTGTAGATAGAATTATATCGATCTTGCTGCTGGTTTTTAAGAAGTGATACAAACACCTTACATCAGTACAAATAACTTCAAAATCAGATACATTCGATTTAACGTATTTCAACAGGGATGTGGTCCGCTTTTTTCATTAATTTATATAGTATTTTATAGGTTTTCATAAGACTACGCGTATTCTCAAGGGAATACTGAATTGATGGACGCCGCCAGGCTGATTTTAATTTTTCCCTTAAATCTGTTCTACACTTATTTGATTTCATATCTGCATATATATATATTTAATGTTAGTTGGCATGTTTAGCTCAACTATATTTCATATTAAACTAGATGTTAATATAAATAAGAAAATACAAAATACGAATAGATGGACTAGGCAGACTGAAAAACGTTTTTTTAATCAAATATCATTTACGTAAAGCCTTCTTTATTTCATTCTTACCGCCAAGATTTTATCCTGTTTTACACCATATTGTCGTGTCATATTGTTAAAAACAGATCGGATAGTACAGATTTTAAAACCATCTATGAAAATTAATATACCTTTTTACTTGAACTTAATTGACTTGTTAGAATTTTCTTATTTACACTTTATCGTCAAACTATATTATATCCCTGAAGATAAATGAAGTAGCTGACTAGATATACGAATATAAAATGATAAATACTCCTAGATGAAGCTTGAGAGATAATTAAGCATGAATGTAAATAAATGCACGGAACTGTATGTATCTATATATGTAGATCATTGCAAAGAATGCGTTATATAGTTAAATAAGAGGAAATAGATTGATATGAATTCATATGTAGATGGATAGGTAAAATTTAAACAGACAGAAAATAGACAGATAAATTGAATTGCTAAACAATTTTCTGCAGTATGGTGCATTACATATGACACGGCTATTTTGGGGATAACAGAGACTGTATTTAAATTTCTACTCAATTAATTTGTGTATCCATACTTAATCAATCACTCATTTATTGTGATTGCGAACTATATGAGAAAAATAGGCTTTAAGGTATGCTTGAAACCGAAAACTTACATACATATACGATCGTGATATTGAAGTCATCAATATACGCTCAAGATACACTTCTATGTCTACAACTATATACTTATTCAGCGTATCGTAATATTAAGAATACATAAACTTTCATTGCAACTTAAAAACTGCTTTTCTGACTTTTAAATATACATAATTGAGTGTTCCTGGAATAGACTAAAATATTACGTTCAACGTTAAGGATGAGCATTTTGCGATAACCGTTCTTTTCCTTACTCAATAGTTATGCAAACGGGATTTGCCTTCTTAGAAGCTGGTTCCGTTCGATCTAAGAATACAACCAATATTCTTATTAAGAATGTAGTGGATATGCGTAAGTAGAAAATAGATATGAGATTTTATTGGTTATAACTATACCAAACTATCAATTTTAACGTAGTTATCGGAGCTATCTCATATTGGGCTGTTGGTTACGCGTTCGCTTTTGGAGATGGTAACACATTTATTGGCACAAAATACTTCCTACTCATTAATTTACCCGGGCCCGGCTATTCTTTTTGGTGGTGTAATTACGTTTATGCAGCTACTGCAGCTAGTATTGTCAGTGGAGCTGTTGCTGAAAGAATTAAATTTACATCTTATCTAGTCTATTCTGCTGTTATTACCTGTAAGTGCAAGTTCTATGGCTGCAGTTTTTTTGGATATGATTTATTTTAATGTTGATATTGCCATAGCCATCAATATTTCGAATAAGAAATGTAGAAGTAAGAGAATAAAATTCTAAAGTAGAGAAATACTACAACCGTCTTTAAAAGGATTATCTATTTGTCGTATAGCTTTCATCTATCCAATTGCTTCACACTGGGCATGGGATCCTCATGGATGGCTTATGATTGGCGTACCTGGAGCAAGTTACCAGGTTAGACTACAAATTAATGAAACTTGCTGTAATAATTTATTATCTATTACATTATATGCAAACAAATTTACTATAACCATTCTTCTTTTGAATCTAACGATTATCACGAAGGATTTTTCTGGCAGCTCTTTAATACATGGAGTTGGAGGTATGTGCGCTTTAATTGGAGCTCTATTTCTGGGTCCACGACTTGGGCGATTCGATAAAAATGGCAATCCTAAAAATTTGCCTGGCCATACTGTTCCAGTTAGTCTTAATAATGATTCTTTCTATGTTTATAAATAATTTCTAATCTAGTTGCTATCTTTAGGAACTAATAGCGCTATAATGATTTATCTAGCTTATGTTTTGGGAGTTAATCTTTTCAGTGTCGGATAGATCCATAGGAGAAATCGATGATACTTCATATAAATATAGCGATATAAAAGTAATTATATCACGAATTATTTATCCTTTCACCGTTTTGAATACTATAGTTTGTTGCTCTGGGTGGGTTTATTCTGGCTTTTGGATTGATAACTTTCAATGTTAGCTCTTACTTTCGCGTAAATGGCTCTCTTGACGCTCCTAAAATTGCACTGATTGGTATCAATTCTATATTAGCTGGTTCTGGTGGCGCCATTGTTGCTTTATTCACTAAGCGACTCCATCCAAAACTATCGAACCATTGGAGTTTGCTAACTTGTATCAATGGACTGATAACAGGGATTGTAAGTTAGAATCGCGAGCTAAATATTTTGCTAGATTGCATATTTAGCTATTTTATGACTAAATTTCAAGCATAGAGTAATCGTTCGAAATTTTTAATCTATGTACTCTTGTTCATTAGGATCTAATACCTAGATAAATTTAGATCTTCACTTAGGATAGATTGAATCTGATCAAAGAGCTGATGAAAAATTAAATAATGTTAATGTGCACTTCATTTAGGCATCTGTCTGTGCATCATGTAATAGCATCTATCCATGGGCCGCTCTACTCATCGGAGCAATTGCTGGACTAACATTTATGGTTTGGAGTTGGGCAATATTAAAATTTCGGATTGACGATCCTTTGGATGCTATCTCAGGTAAGCTTTTACGGCTATCTATAGTAGGAGTATTTAAATACAGATAATTTTATTGAAAGTCTGAAACCTTCAGTACTGTGAATGAAATTATGCTATTTAACAAACTATTATATGCAAATTTCTCGATTTCTTGACAATTGTAAAATATGGAAATGGATTATAAAACCAACGTTTAATATTTTTAGTTCACTTAAATGCTGGAATATGGGGAATGATCGCTCAGTCTTTATTCAACTTTAAAACTGGCCTATTTTATAGACATATGGATAAAACGTCATGGTTACAATTTGGTTGGAACATGTTAGGATTACTTGCTATCCTCACATGGACCTCAGCAACATCTGGATTGATGTTTTTAATCTTGAAAAAGACGGGTTATTTACGTGTTAGCGAAGAGATAGAAATTAAAGGTAAAGATATGTTATTCACCGTTTTTATGCTATTATACTTCTTGTTTATCCCTATTATACCCTATTAAAAGCCGAACGACAACTGAAAGTCATGCTAGTTTAGTAAGTGTTTTGATAGTGTAGTTCACCAGTTATGCATATAATCAAACGATTATTTTAGGCTGCTTAAACTATTTTAAAAAATTAGTCAAATTTGCATGTGATCGATGTGGTTAAAGTACAGTTGCCATTTATATAGTAGGACTGAGTTGAATATATTGTGTTAGTAATGTCACGATAGTTGTATATTAATGTATAATTAGTAATCAAAGTATCGGATAATTATCGATAGCACATGCTATCGTCTATTTATTGATATATACATTTTGTGATTTTATCACGAGTAGGTTTGGATGTACCAATCCACGGAGAGCCAGCTTACCCCAGAATTAGCTACGGCTCCGGCTGGGGTATAGAAAGCGACGTCGAAATGGACACCTCAGTGCTCATGCTTTTGCCAAGCGATAACGAAGACAATGAAGCTCGAGTAGTAAAATCTCAAAATTAATTTCGAATTTGCCCTCTTTATATTCAATATCAGAAATTAATTTATTTATCTAAATGATGATTATCATACAGAACTTTGCAATAGACATTTATATTTGAGGATTTTCGCTCTAACGGCCTCATATTGAAAACTGGTAATCGTTTTAACGATTCATTGGGCTTTAAAATATGCAATATTTTTGCACTCTCAGTGATTCTAATACATGGCTAAAGATCAATCAGTTCATGTATTGGCAAAAAAATTACTTAATCAATAACGCTTTTTACATTTCGTTATAACATTTTATGATGATATTTTTCAGATACTGACTGTGCATAACTATGATTCGATACGAATTACTAGTGATAACATTCATAATTTGCTATCCCTATCTAAGTGAAATTTGATATATAATTCTTATTTCATCAGCAGAAAGGTAACAAGGCAGCATAAGACAATTATAATAAACTTACTGGATGGCCTGTTACTTTGATATTGGTATTAATTGAATCTGTTACCATCATTTCTAAGATCTTCTTGATAATACTACCTAGTCACAATTTGGCAAGTCACCGTAATTCGCTGTCGATATACTGTAGCTGGTATATGTTACATATTTTTAATATCGAAGGAAAAATTAAAAACTTTATGATATAAAGTGTAGTTATAATATCGATACAGCACTGCAGTGCATGAAGATAGCAATCATTTATACAATTAGCTCCACTCAAAACGGAATCATTAACACTTTTACATTTAAAAAAATATACAATCATTTATATACGGCATGTTTAAAGCTAGAAGTTGTATTGTATCCCTAACCCAATTACGTTTCTTCCGGATTATTTTTTTCTGTAACCTTAACTGTATTAAAATCACATAGCATCACAAATGTTAAGATCGGTAAAGGATGATTATATGATTGACAAGTCAATACGTGTATTATCATTATCGGCCATAGGATGCACTTACTGTCTGACTTTGGCTTCAAAACGGCCTCTGTTGCATGAAGTATTTTGGCTGTAGTAGATATGTGGCGATGCTGTTTGTCATCTAAGTTACCATTTGAAATTTGGATTAAATATTCATTTTCAAAGCATGAAATTGTCATGATAACGAAATTACAATGAATACTTACATTGATCTTGTTCGAATATTAAATTGGTACCTGTAGAATCTAATAATAGTGCAGAATATTCAAAGAGTGTAACTATGCATATTAGTTTGGATATAAAAGTATATGCTTGTACATTAAAATAGATGGTTTAATTTAACGATATTTATAAGTCAAGTCTAAAATAGTAGTAAGTACTAAAGGTAAGGCAGTAGCTTATCACATTGATATCATGTTTGTTAACCAAGTGTATAAAAATATTGTATTACGAGTTTGGCTAAGCAATTCCTAAAAAGCATGTTTGAGGATACTTACTTTTATATTCTCCAACGTACAGGTTAGACATGTGTTGTAGTGTAGGCTGACTAGTTTGGATGCCCTATTCATAAATAGATAGCACAGTAATTGATCCTTAGCAAATCATTGCTTTTTCCTTAACCAATACCGTTGATATTATCGATGAGACAGTATTCATAGTAGCTAGTCGAATTAAAGAAAGGGTGGATGGTAAAGTATCATAGGATGAAAATTACAAAATGACTTTTTTGATATTATCATCAACTACTAAAAATAATTGAACACGCTAAATATTCAGTTTTAATAGCATACAGAGACGCGTAAGGTATCACCAGCCACGGCGGAATCAGGCAATTGTAAGACGACATAATACTCCTAAATCAAGGGGAAAAGATTAGGCGTTCGCTTTTGGTCAATCAGACCACAACATCTAGCTAACTATCGCATTATGTCTGCAAAGATTGCATTTGTTGAGGGCGCATGTAAAAAGGAAAAAGTTAGGACTTTCCTGTTGATAAAATAAGGTAAGACAGACGGCTACGCTTACGTAAAGTACAGTTACTCGGGATATAAGGATAAAATGGAAATAGTTAAGATTGATTGTAGATAAGATAAGTTAAGACCATATTATACTATCAGGCTCACTAAGAGATTGTATGTGCAAAGATTGGAATCGAAAATGATAAATTAATCCATTGAATGGACAAATTTGAGAAAGTAAATGCAATGGTTGTATCCCGATACTGCTTTTATGTAAGGTTCACAAGGTAACGTAAGCCTAATCCTAATATTTTGGATTGTCATTACTAGCTAGAGAGTAAAGTTATCCATTCAATGAAATGCGATTGAACAAACATTTTCATCATTCGAGGGGTTGTCCGAGTTTTGTGCCATGGATGCACTACGTCAAAGAGAGTTGATCCAAATGAATAAGTCAAGAGATTGAGACAAGCTGCATTCGTATCCTTTAGTGGATATTCACTTGAAGAAAGTCTCGTTGTCTACCTGCGCAAAAACCTACCTAAAAAATTGAATCAACTCATTAGCATCACGAAAATGTCAATAGCATAGGGCCATTATTCGATATCAGAACATGGTAACAGCTGTATGACTTGTTATTCATTAAAACTTGAAGAAAAATTCACTTCTCTGCAACTTAGTGTCTAGTGTACGTACAGTATATCATTGATGGTGGCACTCTGAATATACAACTGTACAAGACGTACCGCCATGCTAGCATTACATCATCACAGCAATTGATTGATAATTTGCATACTAAGTGATATGAGTCTGTTTGTCCTTATTGATTTAACTGTTCACTCATTCTTATTTTGATTCCTTCCTATTTCATTTAAATAGCGAACCTGTGTCCAATATTTGTACTCTACGCTTCCATTCGTTCCAGCTAAGGTAAAATGAAGACGATCTGTCGACTGATTGAATGCATCATTATCATTGAAGGCAGTGATACCTAGTCTAACCTGTTCAAGTCTGCTGGAGATCCAACGCTAGCTGTACTTTGATTCAATCCAGATAGACCTCATGTAAATCATATCCAATTCTACTAGAATTAATTGAATTGCATAGAGGAAAACATGAAGAGAATTTCGGATTGCGTGCGTGCTGGTAACCATAGCTATCAGCCTCATCTAGCGCTGGCTTGCTGGATCGTATTGGTTCCAATGTCTCTCATCGTCCAGTAGTCAAAAGACTGCATCGTTGACTACAATACTATACAGTACAGTACTTACAGTACTACAATTCGACAGTATTACAGTATAGTCATGGACTTGGAACATTCTACAGTATACAGTGTACAGTACCTAGCCTGTACTGTACTGTACACTGTACAGTATTCAATGGAGTGGAAAGAGAGTGCGTAGTTCGTTTATATTACTACAGTATACACCGTACTGAGTGGGCTCAGTACAGTACTTAGTATACCGTACTGTACAGTACAGTGTATACTGTAGTGTACTGTACAGTACAGTATTCGATGGAGGAGAAAGAGAGTGCGTACTGTAGTTCGTTCGTATTACTACAGTACTGTACACTGTGTACAGTACTGTAGTTCTGCATGAACACTTAAAATAATACAGTACAGTACAGTACAATACACCGTAATGTACACTGTACTGTAGGGTGGGTGAAAAATTTTAAATTTTCTCTCTTGTATGTCCGCGCCAAAAAATAATAATCTCCTGCTCTGGCCTCTAGATTGGAATTGTCGTGTATGCAACAGTACTGAAATAGACAGAGTTCTGATACACTGACCACAAGCAAACGGCTTGAACTTCACTCCAACGATCTTTCAAACTTGTCTTGTCTTTCACCCTAACCGAACCTTTCACACACGACACACATGACACAACGGACTGCGGTCATCTCGCTTTCAAGTCAACACCCTCGATTGACATCATCACCTTGACTACCACCTGTTGAAGGATACCCTACCCTCATCCCTTACGACCGTAGCCAACACCACTTGAAGAACGCAATCGACTAGCTCAATCATCCGCCATTAGCTGGTCCATTTCCATCAAGATTCATCCATTATCGACTAGCAAACCATTGATTCTATTCCTAAAGTCATGACAGCATTGGTAAGGTATTTTTTATAGCGATGATGATGATGATGATTGATTCCATGACATAGATCATGAGAATGGTAGCAGATCAGCATCAATCGTCTTTCAAAACGTAGGCATGGACAATGGGTCAGGGTTGCCTCTCTCCAACTAGATAGATAAAATCAGACATCATTTTGTACATTTTCCTTACTGCTATTAGTATACAGAGGATGCAAGTGATTCTCTTTACAACCACCTATAGTATCAACAGAAATGATTGATTTCAATCGACACATTGTTCATACTTTGATCAATTGAAATCAATGTTTATATCAACACGTAGGAGGATCCCACGTTGGAGCGCCATTTCAAGGGCCATCGAGATACCGTAACTTGCATCGATTTTAATCCAAATATGAAGCAACTTGGTAAGTCCAACTATCGTTCTGCCTTATCAATCGAACTAACGCAATATCGAGTAGACAAATCGATACTTATTTCTGACAATGGAGTCAGTGGTGAAGCTTCAGTACAATCGTATACCAAATACAGTATAGCCTAGTCTAGTGAATACTTGAATAGGAGTAGTCAAACTCTTCGTTCATAAAGTATACAGTCAATGATTTACTGTATTAGATCATCGGAAACAGTGTTCATCATCGATATTCCTAATGCTTTGCTTAATAATATCCAAATGGTAGATTGTCCTTGATGCACTGTTATTGATATGCCATTAATCAACTATCTGAGCAACATAGTATGACGATCAGATTATGTATATGAGTGTCCTAGGCTTTCCACAGTACTTTTTGCAAGCTGTAGAATGTTTACAATGTTGATCATCGATATTCCCAATGCTTTGCTTAATAATATCCAAATAGTAGATTGTCCTGGATGCACTGGTATTGATATGCCATTGATCAACTATCTGAGCAACACAGTATGACGATCAGATTATGTATATCAGTATCCTAGGCTTTCCACAGTACTTTTTGCAAACTGTAGATGTGCCCAATGTTTACTCAAGTCTCATCCACCGGTTAATTATTTTTTATCCTTTATACTATAATTTTGCAAAGTTAAAAGGATGTACGCGTAGACTCCATCACTGTACATGAGATTGAAATCGATAGTCAAGAAATTACCATAGATAGATATTAGTTTCAAAAATTCTAGCTTAAATGAGTGTAACTTAAGTTTCTGTTTAGAAAGTACGGCTTGATTGCTATAATACTTTTATACGACATCTATATTATAAATAAGATCGTCCTACAAATGCATATGCTAAAAATTACTATTGAATCGTAAATACATACTCAAATAGATTCCACTTGCTTAGATATGCTCTAATGTTAAAAGACTTGGCATAGCAGTAAACGTAAATCGACTGTAGATCTTATTCCTAGAGGAAACTGAAGTTCCTTGCTAGTGTTTACTGATCTATCCTATTGAAAATAATTTACCTGATAATAGCAACCGGCTCGATGGACTCAAGTCTAATGATATGGAATTTCAAGGCACATACCAGAGCATACCGATTCATTGGTCACAAGGTAAATCGGTAGTATACTTTGATACAAATACAATCCAAATATTGAATAAATTCTCGACTTATTCTTTTAACAGGACGCTGTTATGCACGTTCAATTTTCCCCGTCAGGCCATTTAGTTGCGTCTGCTTCTCGAGATAAAACTGTCCGCTTGTGGATACCCAGCGTGTAAGAAACTTATTTCATCAATGCAAACCTGCCTTGATAATCTATAGATTACATCACCTAGCTGATATTCGCTAAGCATTACTAACAGCACTCTTATCTCTTTGAAACATTCATAGAAAAGGGGAATCAACTGTGTTTAAAGCTCATACTGGGACTGTCAGATGTGTCGATTTTTCAAATGATGGTCAGTCCTTACTAACCGCATCTGATGATAAAACAATAAAGGTATTGACGTAAACTTGATGTGCAAAGCATGGACACAAATTAAAGTCCTTATCTAATGACTTGTGCCCTTGCATTCTATCAATCCAATTAAAATTCATCATAGCTATGGACTGTACATCGCCAAAAATTTCAATTTACTCTCAATGCACATCTCAACTGGGTCAGACGAGCTAGATTTTCACCCGACGGTAGACTTATCGTGTCTGGTAGTGATGATAAGACGGTCAAGTTATGGGATAGATCCAGTAAAGAATGTATTCACACTTTCTATGAGCATTCTGGGTAATTCAATCATTCTTACTTAATTATTAGAACAAAAATTATAAAGATCAGCTTACCTTTTTATTGCCATCTTTAATTGACATTAGTAAAGCAATACATTTGAAGACTTCTTTTCGTAAACACGCTATATTGACTTGCTTCTATTATTGACATACCTGACTAATAATCTAGAATGGTTAATGATGTTGCTTTTCATCCCAATGGAACTTGTATTGCAGCGGCAGGAACGGACAATACTGTTAAGGTAATTTCTTACTTGTATCTTTCACTGAAATGTGTCACACTGTTTAAACTGAGGTATTAATCGTGTTGTATAAGTAGTCATGTAGTCATGCTTAATAGTGAATTTGCACTTTCATTTCTCATCAAATTTTATCAGATATGGGACATTAGAATCAATAAACTTCTTCAGCATTACCAAAGTGAGTATATTTATGCATTGCTAGTTTGACGATGAAACATTAACCCTGTGTTATTCGATCATGACGAATGTAATCAAACTATTCCTTACCTAAAATTAGTCCATTCCAATGCTATAAACAGCATTTCTTTCCATCCTTCCGGCAACTTCTTAATTACTTCATCAAGTGATACCACACTGAAGGTAATTTCTATGTCTCGATACTTGTAGGGCCTGCTGCTAAGATTCTATTCTACAAACGCAATCAATAACATATATTTATGCTTATTTTTGTCTTCTTTTGTAAGATACTCGATTTGCTAGAAGGGCGACTATTTTATACGTTGCACGGCCATCAGGTAACATTCTAAATCGATAATGTAAACTGTATATGAAATATTATGATGAATTAAACAACCTATTATGGTAGGGCCCTGCTACAGCGGTAACATTCTCACCGACAGGAGAATACTTTGCGTCTGGCGGTGCTGATGAGCAGGTATGATGCTTAGCACATGTAATTGTGATATTTTACAGTTGAGGTTCTTATTTTTAACTTTAATGATCGGATTATAGGTGATGGTATGGAAGACAAATTTCGATACGGTTGATTACAGTGAATGTAAGTAGCAATGATCATTACCGCACGTGTATATCCAATACTATACAAAATTACATGTGGTTCATCGGTAAGAATCTTATGATATTACAGTAGCAAGTATCCACGGTAAACAATCATCAAACGTTCAACCAAAAAAGACTTTTAGACCCCCTACTCAGGTTCGTGCATTTCTAATGTAATTAGATTTTTACCATTTGAACTCACACTGATGCTAAAATTATCACAGCTGGATGTTAAAAGAACTCCCAAAGATCTATCTGATCGTCCGCCAGAAGTTACCGATGTAGCTCCTGCAATGTTTTCTATTCCGAAGGTAAGATAATGCTGTCGTAAGAAATTTTCTTAATTGCTAACATTTCTGCAGATGTTTAAAAATGTTCATTTCAAATTATTGTAGAAGTCAAGTAAGATCGATACTCTCATGGCCGATCACGGATATCTGGAAAAGGAGGCTGCTACTGAAGATGTTACAGCCGCAAATGGTGCTGAAACTAGTCCATTAGAACCGCGTGATATCCCACCACAGTTATCGCGAACTTTAGAACATATTGTCAGCCAATTAGATGTACTAACACAGGTAATTAAATTTCTTAAGAAGGGAATCTTAATAGCTAAGTATCGTTAACACATTATCTATTGCATCTAAAATAAAAACCACCACTTCATTTTTTAGACTGTTTCTATTTTAGAGCAACGGCTAACAATGACCGAAGACAAGCTTAGGGAGTGTCTCGATAATCAGCAAAAAATTACGTTACAAATTAAACCTAATGATTAACTTAGTATTATGTTGTCAATTATATCCTCTTGTAGTTAAAATTTTAATTTTAATCCTTTCGAATTGGAAACGATGTAATGCCAAAATATTGAGCGTGTAGCCTATCACGAAATTTAAATCTTATCGCGTATTCTTGCGTTTCCATGTGAATAGTAATATACTCATTAGCGCTTAATTATCTCATTGTAAATATTTATGCCAAATAACTAGGATATTAGCAATTACTAATTTTTTACACTTTTATATACATTATAATGTTGATTTAAAGTTGATCATGAATATATGCTTTGCCGCATCTTGTGCGCGATTCTTTCTTACTTTTCAGTTCCATTATAATCCACTATTGGACTCTGGTACTGTACTACGGATATTTTAGTAAATAGATAGCATCAACGTTACACTATAACTGAACGCTATTACTATTTTTCAAGATTAGTAGCCGTGATGTTGAACACCTTATACTGGCTGACCAACGCTTATATTAGCGTTTGGAGATATTTAATCTGTAAATAAAGCGTTCTGTTGTCGAATTTTGAAATTGTTATGCTTTCGGCCAAAAATGTATTGGACAGATAGTTGAAAGTAAATAATTCGATCGCAATTGCCCAGTATTTTCTGATTCGCCTTCCTTAGAAGTTGTTAATAAATATCTAATTAGCTAGGTGAAATAACATATTAGGTATATTTGTATACCTTTCTGCTTTATTTAATTGGTAGTAATTCCTTTAATATTTCATTAAAGTCACCCTATACCTGCAGCTAATTATATTAATTAGTCATAGCTGTATCGGTAAAAGCTTGTGATCGTATCTTTAGAGTACATCCTAATATTAAAGACGATTGCATCTCGTTCATCGATTCGACAGTAGTACTTTAGTTTACTGTAAAGAAGACAGGTTTTGAACAGATCGACATCTTCAGATTGCGAAATAAGCAATAGCACCAAATGATCAAGGCTACCTAAAAACACGACGGTGTTAAATCTCACATTTGACACCTACCAGATATAAAAGTAATAACAGTACAGTAACCGAAATAGATTGCGAATTCTCTCTGGAAAAGATTATATACTTCATTCATCTTAGCTAAACCGTATATAATTTCTCTTTCCTTCAGTAGAATTGATAATGGCTTTCACTACAAATTCATTGATCGTACTTGCTTTTGCAGTCAGTTTTGCTGCAGGTAAAATTAAAATTAAAATAGTCCATTTATTAATTTCAAACTAATTTCTTTATAATTATGCAATCGCTTTTTTAGCATCGTCTTACGCAAAGCTACCGGAATATTGCGGTCATCATCAGCATCGATGTCTATCTGGAAAGTGTATCGATATAACTCTAGTTTGCGATAACGTCAAAGATTGTAAAGATGGATCTGATGAGCAAACATGTCAATGCCCCGATGAACGATTTGGACTTTTCTGCCGAGAGAAATGTTTCTGCTCAAATAATGCAACATGTCATGCAATCACTGGAAACTGTACTTGCCTTCCAGGATGGATCGGCCCGCGTTGTAATCTACCTTGTCCAATTGGACATTATGGTCGACACTGTGCAGAAGTATGCAGCTGTAGCAGTAATGGTCTTTGCGATCATATCACTGGTGAATGCAGATGCAATGAAGGTTGGACAGGTCCTCGATGCGAAAAGCCATGCTCCGCTTCCATTGCAAGATCATTTGGCTTGTCATGCAGATCCATTTGTAACTGTGCCAATAATGCAAGCTGCGATTCTATCTCTGGTTATTGCCAATGTGATTCCATTCTTGGCTATACTGGTGAATTTTGCGAGCAACCATGTAAAGAAGGACATTGGGGACCAAATTGTAATTCTACCTGTTTCGATTGCAGACATGGATCTCATTGTGATCGATTTACTGGTCGATGTATCTGCACTCCAGGCTACATTGGGCCTAAATGTGAGCAACGTTGCCCACGCGGTCGTTGGGGACTTGACTGCTCGCAGAAATGCAACTGTCAAAATGATGGCCAATGTAATCACATTGATGGCAAATGTATCTGTCTGCCAGGCCAAGTAGGTGGTCAATGTGAACGCTCATGTGGTGAGGACCGATTTGGCATCGATTGCTTTTCACAATGTCAATGTGAACCAGCTCTTGGCGATCACTGTGATATTGCTACTGGCCGTTGTCGATGTCGAGCAGGTTTTACTGGAGAAAAATGTGATCAGCCTTGTTCTAATGATAAATTTGGGCCCAATTGCCAATACGATTGTCGATGTAAATTTGGTGTTTGTAATAAGGAAACAGGCGCTTGCGATTGCCAGTATGGATGGTATGGACCAACATGTTCTATGAAAAGAGAGATACAGCGAATATTTCTGTACAAGCCACTCCCGAAAGTTTCCTTCTTGCCTAAGAAAGGGTCCTATTAAGCAGTATGATATGTGATCCAGATACTAAAGTATATGTAATTAATGACGGTTTAAACTTACTAAAAGGAATGATTAAATTAATACTGTGAATTTGTGATTTTGCTAGCTGGATGTTAAAATTCGTATGATAAGCTTTACATCTCATTTGATTCTATCAATGACAGGAGAAACTATATCCAATCCTAGCTTATGATAATTGAATTATGTTCATTCAAATACTCTGCAACTATATTGTAGGTTGTAATTTACTCGCGAGCAAATTCATAAATAAAGAAAATTGATTAAAAATACGAATTATTTATTGACGTGTTAGTCTAAAATGAGGCGACCATTTTTTAAATCTGTAAACTTAAAACTGTAAGCAAAATATTGAAAAATGGTGACATGCAGTCCATGTCGATAAATTTTGAAAAACATGCCAAAATATCTATGGCACTAGTTATTACCTGATGCTAAAACCTTTACAGATTGAGGGGGTATTTATGATAACATTTGCTTAGTGCTAACTATAATACGTAAGCACTGGCATCAAGCAGATGTTAAGGTTTGCAAATATACATCAATGTAATTGCGAATACTTAGCTCATGTTTATTATTCTTTCATTAAATAGCGGAAACTTTCTTCGTTCAAACATTTAGTTTTTTTAAAATATAATTTATTGTGCGCTGTCATGATGGTAGTTCAAATAAGGCCCTTATCCGTCAAAGCCGTCTTATGAAGTAACTAGTCATCTCTGATAAATTATGCAGTGCCAATAAACTCCTTATAAAGAACAGGTTTTTCATTTCTATACAGGCGTTCAATTTTACAGCACAATTACATCCTATTATTCTGTAATAGCAATTAATGATAAAAAAGTAAATCAGCAGAATTCTTAATTTTGAGATGTCATAACTTATTAACCTATACCTGTAATATATTAGGCGAACATGATTCTTATAATAAACCAAACCATCCAAAAGCAACTAGTTTACCAATGCAACATATTGAGCAACAGATTACAAAATAAAATAACAGAAACGCACATCTTATATACATTACAAATTTGGTAGATTTACTACATCAAACACAAAGCTTGTCAATAAGCTGATAACTAGCGCAGCTATAGAACATCAATATATAATAAAATGTCAGAATTGATCAATAGGAACAAATGTAATCCGCTGACTAACTTACCAATATAAAATTTCATGCATACGCATGGCATACATTGAACTAGAAACATATGTAAATCTGCCTCATACAGGAGGGCGATGACGTTGAGCAATGCTTAATACACTACAATACTTGCTGTTATAATGATCGGACTTTCGTCCAGGAAATAAAATACTAAATAGAAGGCCTATCCAATACTGTAATATTGTCAGCATGTTTCTAATACTGCAGTAAGTTTGGTTGAAAGCAAATATATTCTCCAAATTAATAGGATCTTAAATAAATAGATAGTCTGCAATAACTTACGACCCTCCTGATAAGTAATCTAGTATATTGGCCGTTTGCCTTCTACTAAAACTAGATAGCCGGAGTGTATGAGTATCAAAGTAGGATCGTTCTGGTCTTAAGCATCGCAAATGATAATATTTGTTGTTATTGCCATGTAAGGATGAAGCCGTCCATCGAATAGCTCCAACAGTAATAACTTGTCCGCACTTGTTGCAATTAGTCCGGGATGTCGGTGAATAACGGAGATGTAGAATAACATGACTTGGTATAATATCGAATGTTACAGCACCAGTTTCGTACATAACAAAGGGATCATTATTTATTGTCGCATTTCCTGAACTAATGTCTTCGTCGTTCTCATTATCAAAGTCAACTTCAAAGTCTTCGTCATCGGTGTCGCTATAGTCATCATCATCATCATCATCATCATCATCATCATCATCATCATCATCGTCATCGTCATCGTCATCGTCATCGTCATCGTCATCTTCATCGTCATCGTCTTCTTCATCATCTTCATCGTCTAACTCGTATTCTTCCTGTCGTCTCGCTATTGGCCTTTTATGTGCATTCTCTTTGCCAGAAAGAGACTTTAAATTAAACTTAGAGACGTCGTTCCAACGGGATTTCCAATCTGCTAGTTCACCTTCATTTAAAAATTTTTCCGCCATAACTGCAATAGCATTATCAACGACTTTTTCCGCTACTAGTTGAGATAGACGAGAACGCTTTCGACATGTTGGACATGTAGAATGATTAGATAGCCAAGTATAAATACATTCTTTGCAAAAACTGTGAGAACAAGGCAATAAATGGGCAGCAACTAAAAGTGATTGGCATATACTACAAGTAAATTCTTCACCAATTTTACTAAAATTTTCCTCGTTATGTGATTGTTTTTCATTATTATTATCATCTTGTTTCTTCTGGCTATCTAATGAGGTATTTTCACAGACAAAATCAATCAAATCCGACAAAGAATCTTGGTTATAGTTACTGCTCTCTTTCTCTAGTGACTTCTTTTCTGTTGAGGTTGATGAATCCTGGCTATTGGCGCGTTTACGTTTGGAATGCATAACTGTTTGCGCTTGTTCTCCAACGTATTGATCAATATCATCATCAACAAGATGTACAGTAGGGCTATCAACAGTACAACTAGCTTCGCCTAATGTATATTGGCAAAATCGATAGACCAATTCTGATAGAGTAGATTGCACTTCTTGGCCAACCACAGCACCATTTCCCGCACCACCAAAAACGATAATGTCTCCATGAGATAAATTGCAACTCTTGATACATTTACTATTGACCAACAGTCCATTTAAGCCATGATTTTCAATGCTGAAGTAGCCACTTTCGTTTCGAGTGATTGTGGCATGAAGTCGACTAATTAATAATGAATGATTTGAATTAATGACCACATCAACCATCTCAGCTTGCCTTCCTAATCTTGTTTTTCCTTTAAGTATAATCTTTTCAGGAATGAGGTGATGCTTTGGTCGTTGCGAAGCAGGCATTAACGTCAGCATGATTCTATGTGCATTACATATGTAGGTAGCAAATGCAATAATAGGTAGGTAGACATAACATACAATTCTACATTCCAAGAGACGAGTAGCTTGCTAACAACCTATCCCGCAGCCAGATGGGCTGACCATTGCCCTAATCATGTAAAATACTAAATACGATCACTTGACTTGAGCTATTAATACGAGAAGATTTATTGCGCAGTTCTTGACTTAGTCAAACAAAATGTACTTTGTTTACCAATGTAGCAAAATCTCTACAGTTAAAAAGTACTGAGAACTAAAGCGAAATTGTTTAACGTTCCCTTTAGCCAAGTTAACCCACCAATAAACGGATTAAGCTGACCCCAGATCAATTTATTCCTTACGCAAGTTTGAAATAATTCACTCTAATTTACCAGCCTAGCCAATCCAAAAAAATCTCTGCGAGGAACTAAACTGAAATTGTTACAAGTTCCCTCAATTCAACTCCAACCTACGAGTAAACTGATCTAGATTCAGTTATTCCTTGATTTAATAACTCTTTTTTATATATCTTTAGAGATTTGGCTAGCACAGAAGATTAATTCAATCCTTTAACCTAGACCTAACCTGAAGAAACCCACAATGTCCACTGATCTAGCTAATCCATAAAACCTCTGCTGTTGAAGTTGCTGAAAATTTAATTGAACTTGTTGTCACTTGTCTCCTTCAATTCTAACCTACAAATAAGCTGGTTCAAATCAATCGATTCCCTGATTCAATAACTATCGACTGTATCTATTTTAAAACTGTGCTTGGTTTGCTGACCTAGTCAACAATGGTCATTCCACAATGATCACAACTAAGAATGAAACTAAAGATGGACTATGATGCTCATTTTCAAGTTAATCCTCACTTACACGTTTGCATCAATCCAATATTAACTTTTTTTCTTGATTCTTTAACTAACCAATCTAGTAGGAACTCTCTCTGTGCAGATTTTAGTCAGCAACTTTGCTAAGAATATCTCGCCACTAGCTGATTTCCAATGCAAACTCGATCCTCCTTTTCTGCTCACGAATAGCTTGCAATGGTGTCCAAATCGATCCAAATTCAGCTTATTCCTTGCCTCTTGCACTCCTTGAACCGTCCAGTAAAGGTTACTTTAGATTTATGCGGCCACTATGTTGAATTCCGTTCGTTACAACAGATGAAAGTCCAAACTAGCAGCTAGAAACTCCTTTTTAGATGGTGTTGGCAATGATTTTCTGCTGCTGCTTGGATACTATGTCCGTTACATAGGAACGCTATTGGCGGCAGTTTACAGCCGATTTTCATACACATTCCAATTGTTGGCCATACGTAGTTTGTACGGTACCCAATGAGCATAGTACAACATACGGTATTGTCATCCAATGCTAATGCATTGTATTGTGTGTATATGATGATTTTCGACACATGACTCAAGGCACTAACTACGAACTGAAACAGTATATAATGCATGTATCGAGTATTTACGCTACATAGTAGTGATCTAAAATTAGGCGAAAATGGTTCAAATTCATCAATTTAATTAATTGCTGAATGATTGCAAATTACAATTTTAACTTAATACAGTTAGTTAGACTTGAAGAGAGTGAATGCTAATTGCAGCTGTATCTTTTTTTTTTCAGTATAAAGTTTCTATATAGTGATACAGATCAAAAAATACTGATGGGAGCAGTTCTTGATATGTTTATAGTGTTGCCTATCATGATCATCCACACATAAAATCTTGTGGAAAGTGTTGCATGCGCTGCTTGAAGTATAGAGACTAAGAGTTTGTTTGTACATAGTGATACAAATCGAAAAATTCTGAAGGGAGCAATGCTGAATATGTTTAAAGTATTGCCTATCATGATCATCCACACATAAAACCTAGTGGAAAGTGTTGCATGCGCTGCTTGAGGTATAGAGATTAGAAACTAAGAGTTTGTTTGTACATAGTGATACAAATCGAAAAATTCTGAAGGGAGCAATTCTTGATATGTTTATAGTGTTGCCTATCACGATCATCCTCATATAAAATCTAGTGGAAAGTGTTGCACGCGCTGCTTGAGGTATAGAGATTAGAAACTAAGAGTTTGTTTGTACATAGTGATACAAATCGAAAAATTCTGAAGGGAGCAATGCTGAATATGTTTAAAGTATTGCCTATCATGATCATCCACACATAAAACCTAGTGGAAAGTGTTGCACGCGCTGCTTGAGGTATAGAGATTAGAAACTAAGAGTTTGTTTGTACATAGTGATACAAATCGAAAAATTCTAATGGGAGCAATTCTTGATATGTTTATAGTGTTGCCTATCACGATCATCCTCATATAAAATCTAGTGGAAAGTGTTGCATGCGCTGCTTGAGGTATAGAGATTAGAAACTAAGAGTTTGTTTGTACATAGTGATACAAATCGAAAAATTCTGATGGGAGCAATGCTGAATATGTTTAAAGTATTGCCTATCATGATCATCCACACATAAAACCTAGTGGAAAGTGTTGCATGCGCTGCTTGAGGTATAGAGATTAGAAACTAAGAGTTTGTTTGTACATAGTGATACAAATCGAAAAATTCTGATGGGAGCAATGCTGAATATGTTTATAGCGTTGCCTATCATGATCATCCACACATAAAACGTAATGGAAAAGTGTTGCATGCGCTGCTAAAGGTATAGAGAATAAGAGTTTGGTTGTACTGATATAAAATATCAAAAGCTCCATGATTTAGAATATAGTATTGGTATATGCATATGCTGTACACTTATATCACCATTTAGAATATCGATTAATATAATACATCAAAGTTTTTGCAGATCCTAACGGATAAATTGGTATACTCATCAATCAATTTAATTTATTTACTACTAGATATATTTGAATTGAAACACTCCGATTGAGCAAATAAATTTTGAAAATTTTTCCTTAAAGAAGCGATTTATTTCTATTTATCAATCAAAGCGTACGTAAATATCGCTGCTTGCATCAATATCCTATTTTAGTACTTACTATCAGTTAGTGAAATCAACCAGAGTTAATCGACTAATTATTTACCAAAGCGAGTTGTGGAAAAAAGTGCAATGGTGAAGACACTTACACTATCTTAGCAACAATCACTAATACGATTGCAGCTATCTTCCTGTGTACGTGTAAACAGGATTTAAATCGATTTACGGCATAGTTAAAAGACGCTCTAAGTAACGTTATGCAATCGTTTATTTTAGCATGGCCTCATCATTAAACCGCTCTGATTTCAATTGTTTCATTCATGCTATACGAGTATCTAAACTTTCAAAAAGTATCCCTAACTTTAAAAGTCTATAGGATAAATATCATCAAAGATACGCCAGTAGTATAATGATCGTAGATTTAAACAAATCTAGGGTGCAAAAGCATGTAAAATGGAACCTACGAATATACTCAAGAAAGACTGCAGTATCTGTCGACAATACAAATATCGATTGCTATATCCCGTGGATATCGCAGTTAGCAGGTTTAATTAAGTAATAAAGACGAGTACTACAACATACTATAGAATGATCATTTTACACAATAGGTAGATTAAACGTGGAACTATATAAAACAATGGCAAGAAAATATATCTATCAAATATATTTTAAAAGATGTTTTAGTTGTAATATCAGAACCAATTAATTATGGGGGAAACTTTTGTATCAATACGAATGATATCCGAACATATAACTTACAACGCATAGAATTGAGATATCGTTCATAACATTAATTGCTACAGCACTAGAATAATTATAATCGATGATCAACGACCACATAACTTAAATTAAAAGTAGTTATCAACTAGTATTCATGATCATATTGTGAATCTTCATCGACACTTTCAATGCCGATTTCTTCATAGTCTTTCTCTAGTGCTGCCAAATCTTCTCGAGCTTCTGTAAATTCTCCTTCTTCCATTCCTTCGCCAACATACCAGTGAACAAACGCTCGTTTAGCAAACATAAGGTCAAATTTATGATTAAGACACGACCAAGCTTCAGCAATAGCAGTATTGTTAGAAAGCATACAAACGGCACGGGAAATTTGGGCCAAATCACTTCCAGGAACTGTAGTAGGAGGTTGATAATTGATACCAATTTTAAATCCAGTTGGACACCAATCAACAAACTGAATATGTTTTTTCGATTTCATATTAACAATAGCAGCATTAACGTCCTTTGGAACAACGTCGCCACGATATAATAGGCAACAAGCAATATACTTTCCAAGGCGAGGATTACATTTTACCATCAAATTACTGGTATGAAAACAGCTCTCAGTAATTTCCTGAATGCTTAATCTCTCATGATAGGCTCTTTCTGGTGATATAATAGGTGCATAGGAGACAAGTGGAAAGTGGATTCGAGGATAGGGAACTAAATTAGTTTCAAATTCTTTCAAGTCAACATTTAGTGCTCCTTCAAATCGTAACGATGCTGACATGGATGATATAATTTGGCATATTAGTCGATTAAGACTAGTATACGTTGGAAGATCCTTATCTAACTTCTTCATGCATATATCATAAATGGCTTCATTATCCATGAGAAAAACAACATCAGAATTATCGAAGCAGCTATGTGTTGTTAAGACAGCGTTATAGGGTTCAACAACAGACGTAGAAACACGCGGCGAGGGTGATACAGCGTACTGTAGTTTAGTACATTTACCATAATCAGCAGTAATTCTTTCAAGAATAAGGCTAGATAAACCTGAGCCAGTCCCACCACTTAAGGAGTTGAATAATACGAAGCCTTGTAATGCACTACATTGATCACACTATAAATTTGAAATTAATTGGGATAAATTGTAATTAGTAACTCAACCGCTAATTAGTCGAGGATTCAAAGCGAAAATCGATTCAATTTCGAATTACTCATAAAATTTTCTATCAGCGTAAGGCTATTGCGGATAATAATTTTTACTAGTCGTACAGTACATCATTTTGCATTAATAGTTATTGCAATTACAAACAAACGCTAACATGACTAAAGTACTTTTATGCATAGCCAATCTATCAAACTACACATTGATTATACTATAAATTACACCAATATGGTAGCGACAAAAAATTACCACTTTGCGGATCCTATCCATAAAAACGTCGATAATTTCACCTCCAATTGTGTAATGGCCTCGTGCATAATTGTTAGCAGCATCTTCTTTTCCGGTTAACATTTGATCGGGATGAAACAACTGTTTGTAAGGACCAGTTCGGATTTCATCTGTAATTAATGCATGAAGATCAATCATTCCATTTGTGTTACGAGCAAAACACAACGCAATAGTCTGTACCGTAAGTGATTCATTTAACATTTAGTATGACAGTCAAAAGTTAGCAACATCACGATACAGTAGCCGAAAGAAAGAGTTAGGAACTTCCGTGGTTATTAATCAATTTTATGTATGTGCACACTAAATGATTGAACACCCATCCCTGTTTACGGAATATGTCACTTGTAGACAACAGTTTCATGATGTAACTAAAGCCACAGTATATGATTCATTCTATCTGGTTTGTGCATTGGAAAAATTCTTACCTATAACAGTTGGTTCCAGATCAACAAAAACCGCCCTAGGGACATACCGTCCTCGACCCGTTTCGTTAAAGAATGTGCTAAAGGATTCACCCGAAAACCAGTGTTTGTGCTGTTTATTGGTCGTTCCCTCACAGCGCTGACCATTAGGTAGAATTCCATGTTCTAAGCAATACAATTCCCAACAAGCATTACCAATTTGTACACCAGCTTGACCAATATGAATGGAGACAATCTCGCGCTATAAACCACAAGAAAAGACGTACCGATCATGTTAAAAATTATTTATCCATTTAATTAAGTCAAAATCACACTAATTTATTATTTAAGTTATCAAGTTGAATACTACAGCATTTTGTTAAGATGAAAAATAATCGTTGTTTTATCTAAACAAAGTATACGAGCGCACAACCGAACAGCTATCCAATTTAACATTACCCAATTTTAAAGATTAGACACAACTATCCTTGTCTATTGATTAAGTATAGTATTCAAATTAAATGTCATATCGTATTGTAATTGTGAGATATTTTAATTAAGCATCGTGTAATTTATTAGGTATGCATTACAGGTAAGGGCAAACGCATATACTAATAGAATTGCTATCCTACTTGGAAATGGATCACGGGGAAATAGAAGTGTCGCGCTCTATGCCCAGTGGCAAAGAACGGAAATGGGATTGGGGCAATACGGTAAATAACAAGGTTACAAAATATATTATTTGGCTATTATACACTATAATGTGATTTCTATTTCATGAAATGTTTCGGGGCATCACAGGCTGAGTTATTAACAATAGAGGACGGCGCCTTCTAAATTCAATTGATAGTATTGCGGATAGAAAATGCTAGATGTGTTGGGTATTTGTATCACAAGACCTGTGCGCGATGACAAGTGGATATGGAAGACCGCTATCATATTGCAAATCATTGGAACTCATACAAAGATGATTGTACACTGACTACTTGTAGAAGATGACCGATTTTAAGCGCGATAAGGTAGATTAATTTTGAGAACTACGTCGATTAGCCATGCAATGTAAATTGATATCATCGAGTTGGACGAGTGAAGGTGGAGAAATTGAATATCTACAGAATTATTTCTTGACTGTGACACCATTGCATGCCATTGGTTTCATCGATTAGTCCTTGGACGGGTAGTTGGAGATGGTATCCATGAAAAGTCTGCAACCTGGCGTCATTTAATAACGATTTAGCATCCATTGATCTTCTTTAATATCCAGTAGCGTTAGTATGGCGATAGCAAGAACTACTAGTTTGAATGTGGAATTAACGGCGGTATAGCAGTATTCAAAGATCTGGATGGGTAGGTCGATATCAATTGTATTTTTTAATACCTATAGTATAAAATCTTACCATTTTTGCTAGCTGCTGTACTCGTTGGCAGTTTCACAGGGTGAATGCCAATCTTATGATTGAATTTTAACCAATATTGCAATAGTAATTTTGGGGGGGTTTAACTCTTCCTTAATGTTCGTTTAATCGAGCTCTCGATACAAGCTGCACTACTTTATACCGTCTTTCGTCTGCCTTGTATCAATTGCAAGCCTAGTACTTGTATCTTCTACTGATTCGTATAGGCACAATACTGATGTTTGGAAAGGATTTTCGATCTTATAATTCTTTCATCCTCAGTCCTGTTGGCGCGCTATGATGAAGTTTTGCTGATTACTACGTCGGCTGCCGATGAAACATGTGTTTACGATTAGAAGCTAGCACTGCCACAATTAGACTGCAACTGGCGATGCACAGTATAACTTTTGTGCCTCGATATCCCACATCAACCTGGCCGCTGATTGCTATGGAATGGGTAACTAGACCCCATTGGCATTTCATCTCCTCCTCCTTTTTGATTGCATCATATGGTGGCAATCAATCAATGTTGTCAGCAGTGGGCGGATAGATTTTGCAACATTTTAAAATCAGATTGTATGAATGTTGAATGATGGATGATACCTTGTAATTCATGTCTACAAGATGAAAAGTGTTGAAAGAGCTCATGACAGCTGGTGCCCCATCGTCAGCTCCATAGACTATGAATGGACTATGAGCGTGTAAATTAATTTCCACCACTGTTCTGGTGCAGTAATGTGCCAGTTGGCTTTTATAGTAAGCAATATCAAGACTTGTGGTTTCCAGGTTCAAGATTGTTATCCATAAGCTAAAATAAAAGCTTAGGGTTTATCAATCAGTATTTATCCATCACTATTGTCATGATACGCTCCTACTTGTTGATCTACCCAATGTTACCCTCTGTTAAGATCTTGGCATTCTTACGCCATTTAGATTAGCATTCAGTACTAATACGGCAGCAAATTATCGTGGAGAAATAAGTCGAGCGTAAAAATGCTTTACTTGAAAGGGAATCATCACTTTGAGCCATGGACTGTAGGCACTGTACTGTATTTTTCTAGAAGTCCAATCAAATTGGTCCATCCATAATTGGCAATCATGTCCAACTCGAATACCCAAGGATTTTATTCCCTCGATATTATCAACTTTCAATATCATGCATATGCACCGATATCTCATATTGTCGAAGGGCGTCCAAGAAAAGAAAAAACCATAGCTTGAGATGCTTAAGTAGTTGATTACTTTTTCAACTCCACTTCATCCACTATCCTGAGTAGATGTACTTTTGTGGAAAATAAGCTTCATCATCATCTTTTCCATGGTGTAATGTGCAACCCTCGATATTATCAACTTTCAATATCATGCATATCACCGAAATCTCAAACTGTCGATGTGCGTCCAAGAAAAGACAAAACCATAGCTTGAGTTACTTAAGTCGTTGATTACTTTTTCAACTCTACTTCATCCACTATCCTGAGTAGATGTACTTTTGTGGAAAATAAGCTTCATCATCATCTTTTCCATGGTGTAATGTGCAACCCTCAATATTATCAACTTTCAATATCATGCATATCACCGAAATCTCAAACTGTCGATGTGCGTCCAAGAAAAGACAAAACCATAGCTTGAGTTACTTAAGTCGTTGATTACTTTTTCAACTCTACTTCATCCACTATCCTGAGTGGATGTACTTTTGTGGAAAATAAGCTTCATCGTCATCTTTTCCATCGTGTTATGTGCAATATCCCCCGCGTTTACCGCGATATTATTGTACCCTTATACCGTACACTAGAGACCGTTTATGTGTACCGTATAGCGTAAGCAAAGATTGACTGGTTCGACTTGTACAAGTATTGACTGTAACGATTGATGGTAGACTTGTAGTATCATCCATTTTGCTCGATAGAAACAGGCATGGACTTCTAGAAATAGAACTTGTTCTTCTAGTAGTCTATGAAGCAGTTCATTTTATCATCTCTTGCATTTGCACTATTGATCTTGCTAGCGATTTTGCTATCACGATACCTAAAATGAACCATTTTTGTGGGATAATCAATCCATCCGTAGCAATCTTTCTACGTCCGTCTGTCCGCGAGGGTGTGTACAGTGCACAGTACAAAGCACTTTTTGAAGTTTGAATTGTACTGTACTGTACACTGTACAGTGCCGCACTAGAGTGATTTGTACTGTAGATTCTCAACATTTCCAGTACAGTACAGTACTGTACTGTCGACATTTTCCATTTTGACTACTGTAAATGTTTAGAAACGTCTCACATGTTTGAGACGTTTCACTATACTGTACAGTACAAATCACTGTAATGCGGTACAGTACATACACTACTGTACACTGTACAGTACTGTAGTTTCTTCCCTTTACCTTAGTACGCATGACCGAATTGTTCTTCACCATGCTGCCAGTGACGTCACTGGCATGCTGAAAGCCTATACTGTACAGTGTATAGTACTGCAGGACTTGAAAATTGCTCCACGGCCATGCGCACCATTGGCGTTCGTCGACCTACCCTTTAATCATTCTTCTAGATCTATATAGGCAAAGGCACACTTTGATACGCTGATACCATCAGAATCTCCACATGGACCCAAGTTGGCCAGTGCAAGCCAGCAGCTTTTGGACTAATCTGGCGTAGAGCCATCCAGTTCATCATGTCATAAATCAAGCTACCCATTCCAACGTTAATCTTATCGTATCTATTGAAAGCATACAGATTGTAACTTCTTGATGACTTGTAGGAAAGGCGTCATGAACATTTTAAACCGGAGATGGTATGGGCTAATGAGCCGAATGCAAAGGCAATACTCTATCGATGGCAAGCCATCATCATATCAATTCAAAGCACTGTCGACATTTTTTACCCATTATTCCAATGATCATGCTTTAGCCAATAAGGAATACGATCATATCAATTTATCCCAATCACTGGGTATTCGTAAAAGTAAGGAAAAGTATAGTAGTCCTCAAAGATTTCTTGCTGAGGTCATCCGTAATCGGACGGCCAATATTATGCAAGCATGTCAGTTGAGTCAAGAAGACGCTAGCCAAATTGCCTGTTTATATTCACCACTTTTTGCATTCAATGATCAAGCCATGGACATGATTCGTTTTCTATCAAAGTATGACTGCAATATTAAGACCATTGTAGCGCAGCACCCAGTTATATTGGGTTTAGACGTTAAACAGGTCAGTGCTGCTGCTGCTGCTAAATCCAGTTCCACTATTAGAATTAGAATTGACCAATTTTGAATCATAGCAAGAATGAATAACGACGAGCATTGCACAATAAACCTCCCAGTTTGATGTTGTTGTTAATCAGTCACACTACTACGCGTATACTGGCTAATTAGCCAGACAGTAGTTTTAGTTACATCGTTGTCCTATTCTATCAATTGCTTATAATTTTCTTATGCTGTCCATTGCTGAATCTCAGCCCAATGGTAACCCAACTGGAGGCTATTGTGTTTTACGGAATGTGAAGATAAATGTTGTTGTAGCGAAGATACCTCTATGCAGTATTGTTAGTTACATCACCTTTCTATCCTATCGAGTGCTCAACATTTTGCAAGCTGTCTGTGAAAACTGTAAATAGAAGCAAGGTTGTAATTTAGATGTAGTCGATTGCTGTCGGCTAACATAGTGTGTTTCTTTTTTTCCAGTGTGAAGCCAAGATTGACAAATTACGTAGTACGATCTCAGATCAACATTTCGATCCAGTACAATTAAATTTATTGGGTAAGTGGATTTAGGATAGCTGTACTTTCAAAGCATAGTAATGTACAGATAACTTACAAACTGTGCTTACCTCAGTCATTTCTTACTGCTGAAACTACATGTTACTAACGTGCTGCATGTGATACAAATTTCCTCTATTCCTTTTTAAACGATAAAATACACTAATGCCAATCATTTGATCTGCAAGTTGGAGAAATTATAACCAAAAATCCAACCATACTTGCTTTATCCATAGATAACTTTACGTCAGCACTGTTATCTAAATTTGCTGTAAGTATATACCATGTGTGATAGGGAAATATCAAATAATTGCACCATTTTAATAAAGTGTAACTTAAATATCGGATATCAATATTATTATTCAGCATTATGATTTAAAATCAACTTGGATATTAAAAGAAATGATGAATGGTGGTAGTGAATCAATTCTCAATCACTTTCCAACGTCTGAAACAAATCCCGATAACGTTAAGAAAATTGTCCGTTTTTTCTACGAAATAAATGTTATGCCGGAGGCAGTGCTAAATACTGCGCCTGCCGTCTTCAATTTATCATGTAAGTTTACTTCTTTCAAGTACCGTATATTACATGCGTATATCAGCATATAAATCTGCAGTTGATAATAGTGACCCAGACTTAAAATGATATCTAGCCAGCTAAACAATTTTGCCATAAATACTCGTATATTGTAACCATTTCTGTAAAGTGCTAGTTTTGAAAAGTCCACTACCAGTTAGATGAAATGATAGAAATAGACTAAGCAAAGTGACGGCATTCATTTATTTGCCCATATCACCGACATGCTTCTAACTGTACATTTGCTTTCACTATCCAGATGACAGAATAAATGCCATTTACCTGAAGTTTACTTCAAAACCGTTGTATTTTAAAAATAAAGATGTAAAAAATTTATTTGAGAATCACGGATTAGTCTTATCAAATCTCGATTTAGTAAGTATTGCTATTCTACTACAAACTTTAGTGCAAATTCGCCAACACCAGAAGCGACAATAATTAATCATAAATAGATATAATTAATATTTGCTACCATTGATTTTCTGATCGGATATACGTATATATATACTCTATAGGATTTTATTGAAGATCAGTACCTACGATTGGTTGAACTTATCAGTCATCGACGTGATGAAAATTTGGTTTATTTAATGGTAAATTGTGCCTCATATTAGCTAATATATAATCTTTCTTTATATGGATCAGAATTTTTACCCGTATTATATTCATTGTATATGTAGATTGCTAAAATGCCCGAGTTCTTGTTACACGAATCTGATACGCGGCCTAGAGTGAACTTTCTTCAATCTTTTGGTTTTACGCTAGAAAATATATGTAAGTTATATTATCTGAATATTCGCATTCCCTTGGAAGTAATCTATGTTTAGATCAACTTTCATTACTAAAGGCTTTTGTAACTCTCTATCTTTCGCTATAATCCATAGCAACTTTGTATACAAAATTGTACAGATCGAAAACCTTAAGTCTCCCCATTGAAGAGAATTTAAAACCTATTCTGAGGTAAAACTATATTCTGTCTATGCAAAAGGGATGTAATACAATATTTATTCTTATTTAACTGGTATCATTTTAGCTGTTTACTAGGTTATAACGATATTACAATAACGGACATTTTGAAATCACCAAAGTATTATTTTATATTATATCTGCGTACTCAAACTTCAACTCGATACTAATCCCATACTACTCACGACCACTTTACAGAATTTTATCAACGGCTCATCGTAGAGTTAAAATTAGAGTCGAATTTCTGCGAGCTAGGAATGTAAGTCGAATTCTATTTCTTTTCATTACAAAGTATATTTCTGTCCTAAGGCACTGTGTCGACTGCTGTTAGTATCTTAATATGATTACAATGTAAGTGCTTAAGAAATTGGATAATTTATCATTGCAGCCGCAAATTTTAATTAACGAAGATTTAAGATTATTAGTCAACTGTTCTAATAATGCCTTTATGGAAATGGTAAGTGGACTGATGGGAATTTGATTATTAGGAAATTAGCAAGCATATTGCTTTTTACGACATATATGCATTTCTACAGGATATAAGCGTATTGTCGTTTCATTCAGAATTCTGATTGCAATGTAATTGAAACAACCTTTATTATTGTTCCTACAGTGCCGATTTAGTGATGAAGAAATTGCCGAATATAATAGTCTATTTGATAATTCTCAATGATGCCGGTGTATGAAAAGAAACGATAGGCTGTACTTGTCCGTTATTTACAAGCTGTAGTATTTCTTTACTCTGACGAATTATATCTTGCTTTGTATGAAATGTTAGTTTATATTAACATAATTTTTTACCTGCTGTAGTACTTTTACACGCTAATGAATCATATCCTGGTATTTTTATGATTTAACTGTTTAATTACGTTAAATTATTTTGTATTTATCGATTAAGAGTGATTTGGAATAGAAGCTACAATTTATTGCTGTTTCATTCATAACAACTACAGTAAAATGAAAGTTCCAATTGCACTGTATTTATTCCTGGGATTGTTCTTTTGCAATAGGCATTTACAGTACGGTATATCGGCAGTTCTCTAAGTAACTCGATACACTTTTGATTGAAAGAGTGCTGCGTCTGGGTATAATTTAAAATTAACCTAAAGACATCAATATCACTACAGTATTCCTCTTTCTATAATATAATTGACAAGCATCATGTCCTTACTCAATTGATTCACAGTTTTTCATACGCTTATGGATTAATGAGCAGAATTATACGATTCATGCAGTCTAGGATACTTTAATATTTTATACCAGAGTTTTGCATTCAATGCGTACAGCTTCATGCATATCACTAATAACTATGATAGTAAAGTACCATCAGTACCAACCCCAATGTTTGAATAAGTAGTACTGCAACACTACATTCGTTTATAAAAAAACATTGATAGCTTTCATAACAATTACCCGGTGCAATTAAGAAGTATCCATTCTACATTTTCGCTACCTCAATCCGAACCACAACGTTGTACCTAGGGTGTCTAAATATACTACCCTACATGCTTGGTCGTTTAACACTACACTATTCACAAGAAGATGATTGCCGGGTCATTGTAAATCTTCTACACTAATTTATTGATATCATTTCGAGAACATTGTTTATTCCTGCTTAGGATGCCGTTTGTTGTGTTTCTTGGCAAATCGTAAGTTTCGTAGGAATTTAGGGTCGACCTATATAAACAACAAGTAGTAAAGTAAAAGTTGATCAATTGACGTTGCACAGTATGCAAAACTTTCTCGCTGATGCAATGTACGTTTAGCATCCATAATCTGTAATAACTAGAACAGCGCCTCCAAAAAATGACTTAATCCAACATTTATGAACTACATTAAAGCATTTCTAGCACTTCCATTGCGTAGTGGTATCACTAAATACAGTATTGTGCATAGTACTCGGCAGATTTCATTTCATTTTGAGAGAGAAACACTAACATTTAAAGGAGACATCTATATGATATACGCTATAGTGACGTTGCACATAGACTGCATAAATAAAAACTATCCAAAGACATTAAGAATAAATCTCGATTTACCCCTTTCAAAGATGGATAACGGTTGGTTTTCGGGCGTTTGATACCGTTCCTATGATTTTTAAATCCTATAATCAAAGGATAATTCAAAAGCGTTAAGCAATATTATCACACCGCAGTCCATAATGTTACTAGTCTCTTGCATTCACATAGCGATTGGATGAGAAGTATAATTAATCCAAGGGGTACAGTACAGTCACAGTCATATGCAAACTACCGTATTTCTTAATTGTTCTGCTTTCAAATCAATCTTATTCAATTTTTCATGTAAGTGTTCGTGTACAGTACTACCGGTAACGTGTCTACTATAACTATTCACAATAGGGAAAATTGATAATTTCTTAATTTTCCCTTTATTAGATCAGGAGTTGCACTCCAGAATGATCAGGCATCGAAGACGTAACGGTAACCTCCGAAAAAGCAGCATACATAGATTTTAATGAAATAATTCAATAAGCTAACCTTGATTATGATTGGTATGATTCTTGCTCTTAGCCATGATAGTCGAACAGTTTTCTGTACGTTATACAACAATTTGGTTATACACCTAGTTATCAATAATACGTATCCACTTTAAGGCGATATTCTCTGGCATTCATGAAACACGTATAATTTAAAGTAGGAATTTAGCAAGATCCAATTAGATCCATTTAATGCAAGATCAGACTAATTAGTATCCATTTAATATACTGTATAGTATATATATATATATAATATCTATACAATCGGCTCATGATCACTACCATTTCACTTGAAAGTGCCGTTTCATCAAATCGTATTTCAATGATTAAAATTGTTGACAATTAGAACAAGCAACGTTAAACTAGCAGAACATCGCTGATGCACGAATCTATACCATTCCAAGTTTATCAACTGAATTTTAAAAGCAACCGTTCTAATCTACGTATTCAGGTTGATGACAAAGTATAAACACCTCTGCATCACTACTACTCGATACTGCAGTATGGATTTGAATGATCAGACGTAATATCTATTAACGATATCTAACGTTGAAATACTCCTACTCGATACAGGATGATGATGATGGCGGAGCAATGAACTAAGGTATCTACAGTTAGTGCAAGCAGTTTTCGATCATCCTCGTTGCAGTAGTACAGTAACAACACTACAACTGAATTCGAGAGCGGAGTGTAATGTAGCCAATGATGATGGCGGAGCAATGAACTAAGGTATCTACAGTAAGTGCAAGCAGTTTTTCGATCATCCTCGTTGCAGTAGTACAGTAACAACACTACAACTGAATTCGACAGCGGAGTGTAATGTAGCCAATGATGATGGCGTAGCAATGAACTAAGGTATCTACAGTAAGTGCGAGCAGTTTTTCGATCATCCTCGTTGCAGTAATACAGTAACAACACAACAACTGAATTCCAGAGCGGAGTGTAATGCAGCAAACGATGATTTGCAAAAGTGATCAACACTAAAAGTATCATCAAACACAAGATCATCATTTAAAAAATTGGCAAAAACTACACCAACATAAACATTGGATTGTACTAAAATAGTAGACACAAGTTAAGAACGATGATTGCTAAGGATGAAGACGATGCCAGATGGATATCATTCGGCATTGCTAACTTACCGTGGCGTCCTTCACCTTGCTTTGATGGAAAGGAAGTCGTTAACATGGACTATCAGCAATCAGGGTTGCAGTCATACCATAAAATGGTAGAGAACGACACAATAGAGTCTTGTCCTATACTGTCCTCTAGTACAGCGGATATGTTCAGAGCAGTACAGTCAATGCTGTGACGAATAACAGTGTACCGTACAGTGTACAGTGCACAGTGACAAGCGCGATGCATTGTAGCAAAACTGTGTACTGTACCGTACCCAGACCTGAGAAAGGTTCGGTTCGGGTCAAACCGTTATGATCTACAGTATACAGTGTATGTCTGTACCGTACGGTACAATACGCACAGTGTTCAGTGTACAGTACTGTACAGAACAACGCGATTAACGTCGATAGCAAGATGGCGTCGAAAACTTCAAGTTGTTATTTGTCGACACTCGTGTTCAAAATCGATAGGTACTGTGCGTACTTTGGGCTTGATTTAGCCTCCACGGTTTATGTTCCTTAGTTTCGCCCAAGTTAATCGTGCTGTACAGTGTCCAGTACATGCGGTGCAGTACTGGATGAGTGTACAGTACTATATGTACAGTATACAGTACTGTAGGCTTACAGTCATGGACCACTAGATAATAGTAGATATACTGTATACCTGGGCGGACAGGTGGACGGACTTTTCATAGCAGATGCCTCCGAAAATGTCCAAAAATACTTACTCGGTATGGATCTTCCATGTCTGTTTTCTAAATCAACTCGTATTAATTGAAGTAACTTTTAAATTTATAATCTATAGCTACTGCTTCCAAGCAGAGCTTCGTAACAGGCAATAGAATACAATGTAATATTACTTACTGTCTATTCAGGAAAAAATCAGTCAATTCACAATCGACTGGCTGCGTATTAAAGTACAGTGCTGTCATCAACACAATTTGTTGACCAAAGTTGGCCAGATGTCTGTCCATCCACAGAGTGTCCAGTTCAAGTATTCTTCTATTCTTCTGCCGTAGTACTGTGTACAATAGAGGGTCTCTAGTGGACAGTGTACTGTACAATAAGCAAGTGCCATACATTCACTTTGCCTTTTGTCTATTACACTGTTGTATTGTGTAAAAATGTTAAGAATAACAATGATATCTTCGGTATACTTATTGTCATGAAGATTCATTAATGAGAGACTAAGTATGGTTACCAAGTTACGAGAATGATAGTAAATAGGAACAGTATAGGAAATCAGAGTTTCGGTAAGCGACGTTGAGAGGGAAATTTGGGTTGAGTAGTTCCTGATAGCACCCACTAAAATTGAACCAACCCTGCGAAAGACAAGTAGCGATCCTTAGGTTGCACTAGAAAGAAACCGTGGCATTTCTATGATGCGATATTATCCGACTAACAGTAACGTAAGTGGGCTTGGTGAAATGGCTATGAGGTTATTGAGCTCAAAAGCAATCAACCAATTGAATGTTCATTCCAGTTGTTAGGTAACGAACGTTCCATGTTATGAACGGTAACACCTGTTTACTTACCAGCTGAAACACAGCAGTATATTCAGCCAATAGAGTTTTATCTCGATCCTACTACTAGTTTTATAACATTGACAGTACTATACTATTATGTGCTATACATCACACCTATTAATTATAATATATAATCAATTGTTATTATTCTTAAGATGTATATCTCCAAAAATGTACCGCTATTATCAGCTGCATAGTACATTTATGCATCATTAGTGCAATAAAGTTGTATGGTTAGATAGATAGACTAGTATTATAGCAGTTATCCTGATCTAGTGATGGCAATTCAAATAGGTAAGATATTAAGGTAGTATTATAACTGTAGTCTGTAATAAATGTCACCATCGATTAATGATGTTAAAGATCTCAAACAGATTTACCACTGAATCTACATATATCTTATTGTATTGCTTTGATTTCTTAATATTCATTTTTGCTTAAAATTCATTACCAGAATTGTTATCAATTTTGAAGGACAGCGAACCTTATTAGAAATAATATTTCAGCTAGAAAAAACTTTAGAAGCAGCGGATTTTTTCCGGCTCTTTCATTGACTACTCCAGTAATAAAGATTTTACGTATCACTTTCAGATGAAGAAGTAATATTTGATCCAATAAAATCACAAAAATAGATTACTTCAGCCAATAAAACATTTCAATAAAGCTATCACAATTTGAATCCATCCTAAATGAAAAATCCCAATCCAAGAAGTGTCCTTTACACCGTGTCATAATGTGCACTTTTTTTAAAATAATGTCACCAGCATTGTATTTCGTCGGATAATAAAATTTGAAATTACGGTCTCAATCGGATGGTGTATACTTTTTCGTTTGTATTCTCATGACCAATTTGCTGATACTGGGCATTATTTGCTCTAAGCGATCGCTTCGGAATAAAACCAGTTTATTGGTCGGCAGCTTATGCTTAGCCAACATAGCTTATGGCTTTATTTTTGTGTTGGCCGCTAAAGTACTAACTATACGTAATTCGATCCACACTTTCATTAACATCTATTGCCTGATAGTACCAGCAATTATACAATTTGTTTTCGTATGCTGTATGAATTTTCACATTTGTATTCCATTAGCTTAGAGAACTTCATTACCATAACATTGCCGTTCTGGTATAACCGAATTAGTACTTATAAATCAGCAATGTTTGCAGTTATCCTTCTTGGGTGTTGGATTTTACCTACTTTTATCGCATTCTTACCGTTAATAATTGGATAGTGGAGAATTTGTCCCAACTTTTGCCTGCTATCCGAAGCAATAGAAAATCGTTATCAAAGTTTACAAGCATGGCACATCTCTTGTCCATGTTTAATGTCTATATTCCAAAGACTAGTAATGATTGTATTCTACGCTCAAATATATTTAGTAGCTCGTGATCATGCAAGAAGAATTCAACGTACTAGTACAGGTATCCAATCAACTGCGGCTTTGAAGGCAACCAAAGCTATATCAATTATATTATTGTTGGAGTGTACATTATTCTGCTAAGACCATACAACATAACGAAATTCATCATTATTATTATCCTAATTATCGTGTCATACCCAGAGAGTTTCGCTATTTGCTTAATGAATGGCTAGCTTATATTGCTTCTTGGAATTCAGTTGCTAGCCCTATAATTTACGGTTTTTATAATAAGAATTTGCGCAGTAGCATTATAGCCTTTGTACGTCGTTATACATGTGCATTGTGCTCCCTTTCGAAATGTTAAACAAAACGCCTCTGCTACCAAATAATCGATTAGCCAAGCAGGCAACTTCAAGAACAACGAGAATAAGATTATTTGGTTTGATGTCAAAAAATAGCTTGATTTCAAATCTAAGCCAAAGAAGTAAAATTAAACTAAACTAAAAATCGGATTTATCACGCCTTTATATCCAGCTATCTGTAGTATGTAAAAATATAAGCGATAAAGCAACATGATCAACCCGTTATGTGCTATTCAAATTTATACACTGTATATGTCAAGTTCATACTCCAAACGGATGTATATGCTATATCCTTAATTAAAGTAGGATAGTGTCCTGGTATGGTGCTAAACTACCTCGAGTAGCTAATTGTATATAATAGTAGATTTAGATTAATTAGTGGATGGCGATTACCGTCTAGATTCTGATGTTATTCTACCACTAAATACGACGTCAATACATACTGTGGGGCTACTGATCGGATATACAAGTATTAATGTTTACGTTATAAGCGTTGTAATCTTAGGCAGATAGATTTTATTTGAAATGATAATAATTCCTAAATTTAGGGACGAATTCCCGAATCGAAAATACCGATGTTAGGAACTAGTTTAGCGGATACCCACTGTTATCTGCCAACGTGTAATAAACCTGAAACATGATTAGAAACTTGCATATTGTTACGGAACTACAGTATGTTCCGTAACAATAAGTTACACTGATATTTTTGTAATAATGACTTAATTCGTTTAGAATTGCTATGAAGTATTTTAGAAGACGATAATATTGCATTTATTTGCAACTAGTAACGATTGTTTACGTCTGTACGCTTATTGACAAAACACTAATGCTGCTTTGTTGACGGACGTACTGTTGTAGTATGGAGTCAATTTAAAGTAGTGTATTTATCACCTGGTGATACACACGTATATTAACTTATATACACCTATACGTATATTAGGTTGTTTTCGTGCCGACCTCGTATGCTCTAATCGGTTTATTAACGAGCTAATTTTAATTAGAGTTGTCTACAACTTAAGTTTGTATTCAGTATATAAATAAATATGATAATTGTGTATTATTCACTATCAGTGTCCTACATTTGACGAAAAACTTTGTTCATTCAAAATTCTGATGAAAGTAGTATTATATGTAAACTGTGGTAGGCTCATTTGCTTGATATGTATATACAATGATTTTCTTAGTTCCTTTTAAACTAGTGTGAAAGTTACCAGTGACTAGATTGCTAGAGTAAAACTACTTAAATATAAAGTGATAGTACCCTAAATGGATTTAGTCGTTTTAATATCGTGGTATATATATATTCAAGAAAATCAATCTTCCCTCAGTACACTTTCTAAGTTGGTTGGAGGCTGTAAAATAAGTATCATATCAACTTTGGGGCCGTTAATGAATTTAAATTTGTAATCTATATATATTTCAAATGTTCTTGATTAAAATCTCATATTCAATATGTTAAATAGAATGTGAGGATATCAAGAATTTCCCCATATTAGACCCGTAGTCAACAGAACTAAACGACTGATCAAAGCAGAACGTCTCCGCGATATTGATGTAATAAAAATTCAAATCTGCCCAATCCTCCTTTAGTACTGTATACAGAAAGACTACTACTGTACACGCTGCTAATAGCAGTATTAACCAAATGTAGATCAATTGATGAATTAATTAACTAACAGCTTGCCACATTAATATCAAGCAGACAACCGTTGAATTCAATATAAGATATTATAACGATTTTATTATAATCAGGATAAATTGGACAAGGATGCCTTGAACTATAAATAAAATAGATCGAAAAATAACGT